CCAACCAGATGATTGAAGAGGATATGGCATGGCATCGCGACCTTACTAAACGAAAATGATTGTTAACACCCCTCACGACACATGATCCATGTCAATTGTAAATTCAACTTCATAATTCATTTATGTTTTACTGGTCTAATTGATGAAATTACTTCTTTCAATTAATTATTCTTTTTATGTAAGGTCTTTAATACATTATGTAAATAAGTTTACAGATTGTAATAAATATATTAAATTAAAAAAAATGAACTTGATTGACTGTGATCCGTGCAAAAGAACTGAATAAGAAAGATTGAACCATACATTCTTTCTTATCATATTGGTGGCGGTTTTTGTCGCTTTTTTCACTGTTTTATAAGTTATAACGATTGAAAATCAATTCTTCGATCAAAATTTATCTTTCACTGATAAATGAGTAGAAAATATGCCTCTCTGTTGATTCATTCCTGTTTTTAAAGCACTCCCTTGGGATATCAGCAAATCTTTTATTATTATATCCTGGTTCTTCCGTTGCTTTCTCCTGAGCGTAATCAGTAATGAGAGATAAGACAGATACATACAGAAATGTGCAGAGCTGATTTGTTAATTACCGTCAAGCCTCAAGATTCATCCACACCGGGTGTTGGCAGTCCGCGGTCAGACCTCGGTCTTATCCGTCCTCCCACCAGGGGTTGGGCTCGGATGCTGGCAACATCTAGGTCGATTCTACACCTAACGCATAACGCATGCAATTTGCATACCTTTCACTCAGGGTGGTGGAGTACTCGATATTCTTCTATCGCCCTTTAAACCTACGAGGGTCGAGGGTACTCAATATCCCGCCACTACACATAACGCTAATAAATACAGTCACTCTCAACACATGCTAGAGACACAACCATCATTTCTATATTCAATAATATAAATGAAAATAATTACTAATTTTATAGTGTAAACTAAATGACTGTACTTCTTGTAATGGTTTCCGAGAAGAAAAAAAGAAAAAACAGCCCATAAGTTAGATGTGAAATAAATAACCTAAAGAATAACATTTTTAGAAAAATAAAAAAGTTAAAAAATATATAAAAATAAAACAACTGTTTCCTCCAAGAATCCTCCCCAGTATTAGTGGTGATATAGGAAAATACCACAACTATTATTGTATGTTAATAATATTGTATTTGTTTTGCTATTTCTCATTGCTATCTGCCAAGTTTGTGTTTAAAGTTAATTTTGCGTATCTTTTGTATGTTTCGTATATTCTTCAATTCTTTCAACTAGTTCATATTCTGCAGTCTTTAATTGTATAGCTAATCGGCAGCAGTTTTAACATTTCACTAGTCTGGTGTATAATTTGCCATTGATGATTTTTTTTTGACACTGATTTTCAATAGTTCTTCAATATGGAGTTCTTCTCTCTCATTGAAACTGTTTCGTGAGATAAAATTTATTTGTAAAAAAAATTGAAAGCAATATAAATATTGCTAATAAAACAATAAATTGTTTCGTAGATTTTTAGGTTTTTAAGATAAAAGACGCCCATTTCAGAAGCTTCCCGTTCACAACAATGTGTAAGAGAGGTAAACTAAGGAGTCTCAGGCCGGCCCGTGAAAGAACCACCTTGAAGAATTGGAAATGGGATCGAGCTCAAAGGACAAAAAGTGGAATTAAGTCTTAAGGTCGATTTGAAGAAAGAAACGCGGAAATAAATAGGGCCCAGTGTATTTTCCTCTCGTAAAGATCATTATATAACTTAAATTTTATTTTATTAACGCGGCACTTTGTATTATTTTCTTTGCTCTAACACGTATTAAAAAAAGAACTAAAATTTAAATTAAGGCACCCAGGTAAAGAATAGTCGTTCTGGTGCTGTTTGTAATTGACGAATAACACATCATCGACCTTTAAATTTGGAATAGTTACGACCGTACCACTCAGGGATCAAATTACAGTTTATAAGATCTGTTAATAAAAGAAAATAAATTCACTGATAAATGTTGAAAACATCTAATCATGGTATAACCTATCATAACCCTAATCTTTACCTAACATAACCTAACCTAAACTTCATACTTCAACTCATCTATAACACTGACCCATCTAACCTAACTATTCATAGCTACCTCAATGTAACCTAATATAACTCGTCCATAACACCCACCGATATCTAACTAAGTAACTCTATCTAATCGTAACCTAACCTAATCTAACTCTCCATTACCCTAACAATAACGAACTTAATTATACCTAACGCCTTACCTATGAGCACTCGAAGTAGATGACGCGAATGTGGTCACGCATAATATTTGTGTATCCAGCCCAAAAACATATCATTACTAAAACACAGATACTAGAGTTAAACGACGCCGACAAACCCTGCCTTCGCCTAAAAGATCCTAGACTGAACTCCGACCGAATGGGAAAAGAAGGAAGGGAAATGAAAGCTGTCTAATTTACGTAATTCTGTTTAAATATTATAAATCACTTTAACAAAGTGCGATACCGTCTTAATATTTTATAAGTCCCACAAGGGATTTCTTTATGCTTTATTTTGAAGCACATGTCTCGGTTCACCGGAAATGAGAATCGGACAAATGACACGCGTTTTTATTCAAGCCTCGTAATCTCTCAACAAACTGCTTGTGGAACAGAGAAACTTGAAAGGATCGACATGGAAAACGTTCGGTAAATTTTTTATTTTCCGATTTTCGGCAAAAATGCGCCGTTTTCAGTTTAAAATAAAACCGTTTGTTTTTGAAACGGGCAACAAATTTTCTAACTTTCCAGAAGAAATAATTATCTACCTAAGGTCAACAAATTGATAGATTCTTGTTTACCATGGTATTGACAGAAATACAACCCTGATCCGATAAGTTTCACCCACGACAATAAAGAGAATATTTCACATAATGGATTTATTATCGCGTCTCATAACGTGTTCTTTGGTGATGATGAGTGAAATCTATGATTATGTTATGCAACATAACAAATGATAATAAATGCTATCCCGATGGCAATCAAACGAGTCATGTTTTGTTTTCCTGTTAATATCCATGTGTCAACCAAGTCAAATATGTTGTTTATCAACGACGGTTGGTATGGTTAACAGTCAATATTTGAATTTTTGAAGCGTGTATTGGCTTAAAAAAATTCGTTGATGGCTCACTGTTTGTGTACACCTACCCACCTTTTTTTTCTACGTTTATATGTTTGAAATTTTAATTTCATTGTAGTTTCTTTTATGGGTTGTTTTTTGTTTCCCAGTGTCAGTGTCACACTATAAACCAATCAATCATGAACGGAATCTTTTAATAATGAACATAGTTCTTTCAGCCTGGAAACCCACGAAGTACTGTTTGACATTCTGTTTTCGCCAAAATTTATTCCTCTGAGTTTAGCAAGTAGAAAGGATGAATAAAAATTGGTTCAAGTGACTGTAATAGTGCGGGCGCCTTTACCGAACTGAAGCATAAGCCCGAATGGGTCGGGGTCCGGGGAGTTTTTAACCCCATTTTCAGCCGGCGTGAGAGAGCCGAAAGTCCCCTCTACCGGCTCCCTTTCTTCTTCTTCTTATCCTCCTTTTCCTTCGGCTTCTTCATCTTCCGGTTTCGACGTCCTGCCGAGTACTACTTGTTGTCCTTGAATTGAACGGCGAACGTTTGAATCTTCTCCCGCTACAATTTTTCAACTGGCTTTTCCGCCGTCTTTAATTCTCCTTTCTATCGTGATTTATACCTCCGCACTAATAAGGTTCCAATCGATCACCCGTTCCTACGGTGGTAAATGACGTTCACATATTTTGTTGTGCCTCTATAAACACTCCACCTCCATCCAATAAAGAATGGATCTCATTTTCCACGTGTTATTTATAAAATGGCAAATGTTGGGCCATGTTTTCAGTGATATACGATAACAGCTGGAAAAGGGGCATTCAAAGGCAAGCATACCTCAGTGTCACTGGAGCCATGAGTACAACGCCAACTGCTGCCTTGGAGGTGTGCTGCAGTATCCAGTTACCATCATTCTAGTACTTATAAAGGTCTAGGTTGAGAGTTCTGCCGCTTTTGCACGCAAGGATCCAGGAATACCCACTTTGGTGTTTTGACGATCCGGGGCCAGACTTAACTTCCATCTGCTGAAATTGGCCTCCAGGGTCTGTTGACAGCCAGGTCATTTTTAAGGCACATTCTTAAATATATTTATGCACTGTTTACTCAAGAAAGGGGTTTTAGTACTCAATATTCCTCCATTACCCTTTAATTTAAACATGTAATTTGCATTTATGCATATGGGCATGTTTTTTTTTTATTGAAACTATGCTAAGAATTATTTAAATCTATTTAGTCCAGTTCTACATTAGTCTCAAAACGCGTGTTAAAGCGAACAGCACTTTTCAATGTATTTGAATAGAAAAACACTTTCAATGTATTTGAATAGAAAAACACGGACATTCCAATCAAGATGAGCTTTCAAACAAAAAAAATTATAAAATGTTGGCATTCGCTCAGCATTAGTGTTTCTAATGTCGTAGGAGGCAACGATAAAAACTTGGAGCATTGTTCAATCTAGATGGAAGTTCATCTCTGTGATTCAAACACTATGTTAGTCTCATATCTCTTGATTTATTTGTGTATTAGTTTATTTATTTATTTATTTTAAAGGTACAAATACGGCTTTAAGCCCCCTTTACATGTACATATTTTAGAAATAAATGTAGCTTTATAAACAGAGTAAAATAATATTAACTGCAATAATAATCATAATAAAACAATCAAATATACGAAACAATAATGACAATAATATATTCATTAATATATTAATTATTTATAAACGAATGATGAAACCACCTAGGCCTTACAGTTGTTGGGTTTATTTCTAGTATTTATTATTTTATGACATACACCTTTCCACCAAATAAATTTTTAAAAAATTGTTTAATAGATTTATTTTTTTAAATCAATAATTTTACTTCGTTTTTTTTCACGCCTTTTAATGATGTTTATTATCTGTTTTTAATGCAGCGGAAGTCCAAGTTTGGCAACAGCAAACAGGATGTTAGCGACAGAGAGAGTAATGGTTCTGAGAGCGACTTTGATGAAGATGACGACCCAGATAAAATAGAAGTTCCAGGTAAATAAAACGTCTTATATATTCTTTTATCAATTATGTTACACGTAAACACAATAGAAGTGTATTCACACCATAAAAAAAGTTTCGTTATGACTTTCGTTTATCCTCAACCCTTAACTTATATATATAAACCTTGATTATAACAGTTTATAGGAAATATTTGAGGGAAATTCCTAAAGGGGCGACTTGAAATAATTAATATATTAAATGTATTTTTAATTTAGCTGTACAATCTAATTTACAGATATGATTTATTTTAGGTGGCGGTAAGGATCTCGCCACAGCATTTGCTATAAATGCCCAAGAGGACAGGCCACAAATTAAACTGGAAAATGATGAAATTGATTTTAAAAATAATGCCAAATTAGGTGAGTCTGCTGATTTGAATTTAAAATAATACAAAAAATTATATAGGTATACAATGGAGTCCCTGTTAATCCAAACACAGGATTAACACTTCCTGTCAGAAGGAAGGACTTTTTTTATTTAAATTTAAATGATATGGTTGGTTATTGGGGATCCGCCCAATTCAAACTTCTTAAACCTGTAGTTTATTCTTTTACTGAAAATTGCAAGAAACTATTTCCTACGTCCTGATTTTCAAAACTCCTAGCTAATTTTTCAATGTACAACTTATTCCTTAAATTTTTCATTCAAGTTATTTGGCTAATCTATAAGACTCAGACCCGATCATTTCTTACCAGCGGGACTCTATTGTAGATACAAAAATTTAAACATAAAGAAAATCTAATATATGGTATGCGATAAACAAATATTCACACACTGCAAAGAAATAGGTTTGCAACTATTCCCTAATCTAACCTAATCGTAAATCTAAAGCTTGTCCATAACACTAACTATTCTCTAAACTAACCTAACCTAGCTCATCCACAAAACTAACTATGCTCTAATCTAGCTCATCCATAACACTAACTATACCCTAACCTAACCTAATCTAGCTCGTCCATAACACTAACTATGCCATAAACTAACCTAATCTAGCTCGTCCATAACACTAACTATTCTCTAAACTACCCTAATCTTGCTCACCCATAATACTAACTAAGCCCTAATTTAACCTAATCTAGCTCATCCATAACACTAACTATACCCTAACCCAACCTAATCTAACTCGTCCATAACACTAACTATTCTCTAAACTACCCTAATCTTGCTCACCCATAATACTAACTATGCCCTAATTTAATCTAGCTTTTCCATAATACTAACTATTCTCTAACCTAACCTAATTTTGCTCATCCATAACACTAACTATGTCCTAATCTATCCTAATCTAGTTCGTCCATAACACTAATTTAACAATCCATAAGCTGGCCTTTACCCAACCCATGTGCACTTAAAAAGTAGTGTTTCAGTCCAAAAATATATCCATGTGAACACTAATTGTTAATGGAGGGAATGGTTCTGATTGTAATGAAACTAATTTTTTTTATATTAATTATGCCAGTGTGCCCAATCTGAAAGCGTCTTACTTCAGATATGATATGTTCGAGTGTGTTTTTGGAGTGTCGTATTATATAAAAGTTAATTACAAACATACATAAAATATTTGCTGATAAATGATGTTCCAATGCTACTTTATGACAGTTAACTATGCAAGTGTAAAATAAATGACAGACGCAGTCAAAATTTTTGTCATTTAATAATGCTATTTTCCATTCAAGGATTTCATTCATGAATAATGAATACTGCAGTTTAAATGGCCTTTGTTCTTTAAGCAAAAAAAAACATGACTTAGAATATAAAAATGCTTTAATTAATTGCATAATATTCAATAGATAAAAATCACATTTTATTATATACAAACTGTTTATTCCAGGTATGAATTCGAACATAAATCAAGGGAATAAAGCTAAATTACCCAGTGGCCTAATAATGAAAGATATATCGCCTGGATTTGAAATAGTGCGATCAGAGCCACCTTATTTAACAGGGTCCCTACAGCCTAGTGCAGCCATGTTAGGTTCATTAGGTTTCCCAACAACGCAGATGGGTGCCTACCATCCTTCAATGAGTAATAATGCACAATTAATGCAGCAGAGTAAGTTTATCATTATTTATTTATTTTAAGATTGTGCTTTTATCTAAATAACATTTGTTTATGACAGTATATTAATGTTGATGTGTTAAACATCTTACTTTTTCAAATTAAAATATGATTTATTATTTTATGTGTTTTAGGTTTAGATCTGGCCAAGTTAGGTCTGCCAGCTAATGATCCTCTTCTCTATGGTAACATCACAGGTTTAAATCTTAATCAAATGCTCATGTCAGGCAATGGGTCATTTTTAAATCATTTCCTTGGACCAAAAAGTACTTTTCTCGGACAGCATAATTGGTTTAATGCTTTTTCCAACAAGGCCTTCCCACAAAATTGGTTGAACGCCGATAACAAAGTATGGGCAGGAATTTAAACGGAGACAAAAGCATGAAGTAACAACCTTTTAATTATAGATTCCACAGCCGAACCAAGAAGAAGAGGAGAATGACGACGAAGATATGGGTGTGGCAGAAACGTATGCAGATTATATGCCGTCTAAATGTAAATTTCAACATTAGTTTCATATTAAAAAAAAAAGTTATTTAATTTTAGTTGTTAAATCTAAATTCACATTGTACATTTTTAAAACTGAAAGTTGATTCTTTCAATCGTGATTTAGTTTTAATTGTTTTCCAGTAAAACTTGGCAAAAAGCATCCTGACCCTGTTGTCGAAACAGCATCGCTTTCAAGTGTTGAACCGACAGATGTGTGGTACCAATTGACAATACCTGAGGCGACGATTTCGACAGGAGCTTTGTCAGCTTTACAGCTTGAAGCAATTACGTATGCATCACAGCAGCATGAACGTTTTTTACCTGATGGAACAAGAGCTGGATTTTTAATAGGTTAGTCAATTTATGAGATAATTATAGATAATTTTCATTGTAAATGCATTCAAATTGAACTATTTCCAAGGAAATATACTCTCCAAATTTTTACTTTCAAATAAACAAGTAAATAAATAACCTAACCTGCCCTTAACCCTACATAACCTGTCCCTAACCCTACTTACCCTACTGTAATCTGTCCCTAACCCTATATAACCCTTACATACCATGTACCTGACCTATCCCAGTTGTACCTCTCCCTTACCCTACTACCTAAACCTAAACCTAATTTCATCCTAATCCTAATTCAGTAGATTTATATTTAATTTTGAACATCCGAAACATGGATTATAATTATGGCGGAACCCCTCCACGAATTTTCATCATTGACGACTTAAACCAACCCCCAAAGCCCTGAACTCAAGTCAAAATGATTAAAGTATAAATTATTTATCATGAAGGTGATAAATAAGTACAGTAGTAATTGTTAAATAAATACAGTATAAATTGTTAAATAAGTATAGTAGAAATTGTTTATAATAACACCAGTTATAAGGAACAACTAGTTATAATGTACAAAATCTCCGGTCCCATGAAATATCATAAGGAAAAAAACATTTATGATGAACTATCGGTTATAGTGGACAGCACACAAAAGAACCCCAGCTGCCTAATGCTTCTAGGAAAGATTGTTCCCCATTTTTTAATTATAAATGTCTTTAAAAAATCTCTAAATAAAAATAAATAAAAACCATGACCTTAGACTCTTCTGTTGAGGAAAAATTACAATAATTTATTTCTTGGATCAAATCGGGATATTATGCTAGCAATCACATAAGTGAAATGGGGATGTCTTGTTCCAAAATAGTGCGATTTGTGAAAAATAAAGAGAAAATAAACAATTAATTAAGTCCATAAAGTTAAAAAGTACAGGCCAAGAAAGATAACAGATTACATATTACAATGATACTGTAGTCAAATAACTCCGTTCACATTTATACATACATATGATACCATGTTATACTTACTGATCTGTCCCTGTGGTGAGCCAGGCTGTCCCAATGACCCATATCGGATGAGAAGACAAAACCGCCAAAAACGACTAAAAATGTTACAGTTTGCCTGCTATATTTGCAATCCGTTTTCTCATGTACATAGATCATATCGTTCTACGATTCTAACTACAGAATGCCTTTATTGTACAGGCCACTAGTAATAATCTGCAATCACTAGTAATAATAATCATGTAAATGTAAACCTTTCTTTTGAAAAATATTTTAATTCATTTACAGATTGAATAAATTAATTATAAGAGGTCTTTTTGGTTTGTGTTTTTATAAATAATTGGGTGCATTCCTGGAGGGGAACTTGCTTCTAACCTTAACCCTACATACCTAGGCGAGTATATATATATATATACATATATGAAATACTCAATTTGTCAACTATTTTAAATACAGGTGGGTGTTCCTAGATGTGGCCCAGGCTTTTGATAACGTCTGGTACCTAGGCATCTTTTGTAAACTAAAAGCTTTCTGTCCACTCCTTATTACCTTATGGAATCCTATTTAACTGATTGCCTTAGAGGCAGGTGCGGCAATGAATATGACGATAAAAGCCAATTTCTATCACATTAATTGTTTTTCTAGGCGATGGTGCTGGTGTCGGTAAAGGTAGAACTATTGCTGGAATGATATTTGAAAATTATTTAAAAGGGAGGAAAAGGGCGATTTGGGTATCTGTTTCAAACGATTTGAAATATGATGCTGAAAGAGATTTAAAAGACATTGGAGCTTTTAAAATTGATGTCTACTCACTGAATAAGGTATGTTTCTTCGTAATCCCACACCTATGAATTGAAATACACATAAATTAAATTACTAAAGAGAAAAAAAGCTATATCATAAAACTTTCCTATTACTATTCACCTGATAATATTTTTTAAACCATCATTTAAATTGTTTGTAGTTGTAAAACTAAACACTAAATATTTACATTAAGATAGTCATGAAAAATATTTCTAGAATTGAAACCTCCTATTGGTTATTACTATTGTATATTGGATTTTCAGTTGAAATATGCTAAAATATCATCAGCAGTGAATGGTAATGTCAAAAAAGGCGTGATTTTCTCCACATACTCCGCCTTGATTGGAGAATCGTCGCAATCCAGCGGAAAATACAAATCCCGTCTGAAACAGTTAGTCCAGTGGTGCGGTGACGACTTTGATGGACTCGTATCCTTAATTTAACCCTCAATTTACAAATTATAAAAATATGTGTTTTGAGTAGTTTTTGTTTTTTCTTAACTCTCTTGTAGATTATATTTGATGAATGTCATAGGGCTAAAAATCTCTGTCCGGTTGGATCGTCAAAGCCAACAAAGACGGGTTTGACTGTTTTAGACCTGCAAAACAAGCTACCAAAAGCGAGAGTTGTTTATGCTTCTGCTACAGGCGCTTCTGAGCCAAGAAACATGGCTTATATGACACGTTTAGGAATGTGGGGTGAAGGGACTCCTTTCCCTGATTTCAATGACTTCATTTCCGCAGTGGAAAAGAGGTACGGATCTTATTTAATGATTGATTTTAAGTCTGTAACATTGCAATTTTCTTTCAGGGGCGTAGGAGCTATGGAAATAGTAGCTATGGATATGAAATTACGAGGAATGTATATCGCCAGGCAGCTCAGCTTTCACGGTGTTGCATTTAAAATCGAAGAAGTGACTTTAAGTCCTGATTTTATTAAAGTTTACAATGATTCTGTTGAGCTGGTTAGTCTCTTTTAAATTTGTCTTATCTTTAGCTCTAGTGTACATTTCATACATTAAAAACTTAAATTTGTATTTATCGTTTCAGTGGGTAGATGCGATGCGCAAGTTTCAAGAAGGAGCCAGCCTGATCGAAGCGGAGAACAGAATGAAGAAAACCATGTGGGGACAGTTCTGGTCGTCGCATCAGCGGTTCTTTAAATACCTGTGCATAGCGGCTAAAGTGAAATACGCCGTCGGCATTGCCCGGTAAGTATTTGCTGTGCTTTAAAAGATTTCCTTCCTATTTATGAAATACTGGGTTAATTAGGGAAGCTGTGAAGTGTGGAAAATGTGTTGTAATTGGTTTACAGTCAACTGGAGAGGCTAGGACATTAGAACAGCTGGAAAGAGATGACGGAGAACTTACTGACTTTGTATCAACTGCTAAGTAAGTTTTGGTCCTGTTTAAAGAAAAAATTACAATAATTTTTCAAAATATTTTACTTAACATTTATGAAAATTCATCATGTATTTTCTAGGGGGGTGTTGCAAACTTTGGTTGAGAAACACTTTCCAGCACCTGATCGAAATAGAATCAACCATTTGATGGGCTTAGATAAGAGAAAAGCGTATGGATTTTCAAATAATAACAACAACGTATCATCCGAACCTGGATCGTCCAGTGGAAAGCGGAAGCCAGGTAGCTAGTATATTGTTAATGACTACTATTTTATTTCCTAAGTATTAATAGTATGAAAAAAAAAACAGCTCTAATAGGAAATGATTTTTAGTGCGACAAGCCGCAGCAAGGGCTGTTAAACGAGTAAGAGCCGACTCGTCTGCTAGTGACAGTGAAGCTGGATCAAGTTCTGGTTCTGAATTTAAGTTACCTATGTCCGATTCAGCTGAAAGTGAATTTCATTCGGAAGAGAGTAACACTAGCAGTGATTTTAATCCTTTTGATGATGACAGCGATGGAGAAGGTGAGTTGAAAAATAGAAGGTTTTTACATATCACATCCTTGAAAGCTCGAGTCATTTCCATCAATTCAGATGGTAGACACCAGCATCTTTTGAACCATTGCCCAAGCTCCCTATTTATCAGTCTATTATCTGCACAGGCCGGAAGTATTACAATTTCTGAAAGAGTTGCAGTGTACTTGCTTCTGCCTTCCTACCTTAAGTCCTTCCTTACTTGAAATCATCTATGGTTGGTCATTCTAGCACCCCTTTCAGAAGAGCTGCAGTTCACTTTTGTATTCCTACCTTCTGACTTTTGCTCAAACACTCCCGATATGTCTGGTTGCTCTAACTGTCCTTCTAAAGGAGCAGCAGTATGCTTTGACCTTCTTACCTTCCTTGCCTGAAGTTACTTTGTATACCTGTCACTCCAAACTTTCCATTCGAAAAAAACCATAGTACACTTCTGTCTGCTTGGTTACTGACCTTTCTTGACCAAAGTCACCCAGTTGTCTGGTCTGTCCAATTCTCTTGCTGGATGATCCACACTACGATTTGGTCTTACTCATTTCCGACTTTTGCCTGATTGCACCTGATGGTCTTACTTTCCACTTTTCCTTGCCCAAAGGCAACTGGTTCACATGTTGTTCCAACCCTTATTCTAAAAGAACCAAAGTACTCTTCTGTCATTTCACCCTCCTGCTTCCTTTGTAATTTGGGAGTCACCAAGTAGCCAATGATTGTAGAGTTATCATCATGGCTCAGCTCTCATCACAGTCAGGTTTCCCAAGCTCCCAACATCAGACCTTCAAATTTCATGTGTCATTGAAATTGTAAGTTGACACTAATCCATAAAACCCTGGACCCTCATTACAAACCCATCCTACAGTCATCTAAAACGTCGGTGCTATGAGATTTCCTTCCTAGTAAGGAAGATGAATACTCTCGGGTTTTTTGGAATGCACCTAATTCCTTCTCCACTCCATACAATAAACTTTAAAAGACTAACGACTTGCTTTTAGTGCTGTTGTAACGTAATAATAAAAGATTTTATTTGTTTGTTGTGTTATAGAAACGTGGTTATCCCGAAAGAAAAAAGGTAAATCCTCCAAGCCTCCGACTAAAAAGCAAACTACACAGGACAAGATTGATTCATTGATATTAAAACACCACAGAGGCAAAACAGCGACGAACGATATTATCGGCGTACCGAGTAAAATGGCAATTGAAAGGGCTTGCAGTTTGAAAGAAGAGTTGCTATCAAAAATTGAAGAACTCGGCGACCATCTCCCTCCAAACACATTAGATCAACTAATTGATGAATTAGGTGGACCAGAAAATGTTGCCGAAGTACGATATTATACAGACATTGGAAAACATTACCTCACACTTGAATAAATTTCAGATGACAGGAAGGAAAGGAAGAGTCGTCCAGACCGAAGATGGTATACAGTACGAATCGAGATCCGAAGTCGACGTACCTTTGGAAACGTTGAACTTGACTGAAAAACAACGATTTATGGATGGTCTAAAAGATGTTGCCATAATTTCCGAGGCGGCAAGTTCAGGTATATCGCTGCAAAGTGATAGACGAGCTAAAAATCAGAGAAGGAGGGTTCATATTACCTTGGAGTTACCTTGGAGTGCAGATAGAGCCATACAACAATTTGGTAAATAATTGGAAAATTAATGCACGAGTGAAAATATGATAATATATATTTTTTTAAAGGTCGAACCCACCGAAGTAATCAAGTAAATGCTCCAGAGTATATTTTCTTAATTTCTGATTTGGCTGGAGAAAGAAGGTTCGCTTCAATTGTCGCAAAACGGCTAGAAAGTTTAGTGAGTATTTTATATATAAATCACCATTTATGCTGAATTTTCAAAACTAACTTCATTCTACTTACAACCAGAGATGATTGTAGTAACTTATTTAAAATCTTATTAGGGAGCTTTGACTCACGGTGATCGTCGTGCCACAGAAACTCGAGATTTGTCAAGATTTAATATTGATAATAAATACGGAAGATCTGCTTTGGAAGCGACTATGAGAACTATAATGGGTTACGATACTCCATTAGTCCCTCCACCTTCTGATTATCAAGGAGATTTTATGAAGGGTATAGAAGAAGATTTTCATTTAGCAATTGGGTAATAAATTATAATTGTTCAAATACTTTGCTCTGTTTTTAGACGTCGCAACTGCTTTGGTCGGAGTCGGTTTGATTGTAAATAATGAGACGAACCCGGGGACTCTGATTCTAGATAAGGACCACAATAACATGAGCAAATTTTTAAATAGAATTTTAGGAATGCCCGTCGAATTGCAAAATAGACTGTTTAAGTATTTTACTGACACGCTGCAGGCAATAATAATGCAAGCCAAGAAAACCGGGCGATTCGACTTAGGAATTCTAGGTAATACACATTTGTTATTGCATGTTCTATTTTATTATAAAAATTAAACCCAAACATTTTTAGATTTGGGTACGGCCGGAGAAAATGTCAAGAGGGTCCGTGTATATAAATATTTGCGGAAACATGCGACTGGTGTTGCAACTACAGAACTTCATGTAGTACATGTAGAACGAGGTATGAGCTTTGATGAAGCCCGTGAGAGGTGGACTCTTCTTTTCGGACCAAAAGATGGGTTCTATTTGTCCCATCAGGTAAGAAATAATTAATAATCGCTTTAATTTACAGTTAACTATTTTGAATTGTTTTCCTGTAGGTCCGTAATGGTAAACAAACTGCCATATTAGCCGAAGCTCTCGAAAGCAGTAGAAGCGGTAAACCGGTGAAAAAGGGGGAAGCTAAAAAGGATCAATTGTACACCGTGTATAGACCTAACACTGGGCTTCAAGTAAGTTTGCAAGTTGGCACTAAGTAAAGATTTTTATACTTTGTATTAAATCGTATTTTAAACTTAAGCTCCGACAAGAAACACTAGGAGAGTTGGAGAAAAAGTACAAACTTGTGACTAAAGAGGAAGCAGAAAGTCATTGGAATGAACAGTACGATTCATCCAATACAGTTTGTTCTCATGCGTATTGGTATGTAGTCAAAGGATTATAACAATAAATGAATCATTTTAAACAACTTCGTATTTTAGGAGAGGAAATTGTAAGAGTGTAACTTTAGGACTTGACTGTGAAGTTGGGCTTAGGCGAAGGACATATAATGTTCTTTCGGGTTCCATTTTGAGTGTTTGGACAAGAATAGAATCTGTTTTAGCAGCAAAAACAGGTCATAATACCAAAATGCAAGTCATTCGACTGAGAACTGCAGAAGGCGTTAAAATTGTTGGTATGTAATAACCCTTAAACTTGATGGAAATCAAATGTAATAATTTGAGGCAAATTTAGCTTATAATTCAGTCATGGAACCTAACCATCACCTAACCTAGTCATTTCCTATCTTTACCCTACCCTATCCCTACTAAGAAAAGATGATTTAATTTAAAATTATTTTTCTTATATTATGTATATATATATACTGTTACCTTTGGTAGTAACTTGTAACCAATTAGTGGCTTATAAGGAACAACTTCTTCTGATAACACATCTTCAATGTGTGGCACAGCTGTTAGGGAACCCTCGAGGAAGATAGTGTTATTGTGATATTCCGTAGAAATGCCTGCCCAAACTATAACACCACTACCCCCATAGTTTCTCCAGAGTGAAAACGTGATATACCCCTGTTCTTCTCCATACCCTAACAAAACCTTGACTCATCTGAAAACAACATTTTAGTCCAATCTTGCTCAGGTCAATTGATGTAATTTCTTCAGAAATTAAACCAAGCTGTTCTGTACCTTGTCAGAAGTAGGCCTTCTCGCAAGTAATCCAGCTTCTGAAAGTCTTTGCCTTACAATGTGTAATCTGAAGATGGCGCCAGACAGTATTTGCCGATTGCCGCCGAATATTTGCCAAGTCTCTAATGCTCGTCTTGGCATTCACAAAATAGCATGCCTACGTATACACACATGTGGGTTTTGTATAACCTCCTAGTTGTTGCGGAAACAGGGAATACGTATTTTCCAAATGCCGTGGGAATCCTCAACTTACTACAAATCATGATAGACAACAGTGAAACTGTCATTGCTGCAGCTGCGGTTACTATTTTGTGCAGTGGCTACAAACTAATTGAAAAAATATATTTAACTATATTTTTAATTATTGCTTTATTTATAAAACAATTTATGGTTTGTAAGGAGAAGCTTTCCAAATTATTGGTTCTGTTTTGTAAACATAGAGGAACTCCAAAACTGTTGCATTGGGTCAATCCATTCCTGATAAGAAAAACAGTTGTTATTGTGTAAATTAAAACATCTATACTAGTTAGCAATCCTTTATTATTGAAAAATATATAGTATTAAATATAAGTATACACTTACTGTTGATTTTGATAAAAGTTGACAGTAGGTTAAAGGTATGTACAGTTATAGTTGATTCCCAAATGTGTGGATGGTTTGAGGGTGGTTACTTCACGAATATTCGTGCCCTTTGAAGCAGACAAGAAAACTGACAAAAAGCCGAGCACAGCAAGCACTGGATGTTATCCACACTAGTCGAAATTCGGCAAAAATTTGTGCGGCATTCAGTGAATACCGCATGTCTGGAGCTGCCTTGACATTATCATTTCTAATTTGTTGAAGTCGTTGCTTGATTTCAACAGCTGTAGAATGTTGATTATATGGAGAACTGTGTGGTGATTAGTGACCGTTAATCGATAATTATTCAGAAATCGTGAGATGCGGTCTGGTGTGACGTAGGTTTCAGAAAAACATTTTCTTTATCGTGCCAACATTTCGATCTTTATTAAGATCATCTTAAGGGCTCAAATGTTTATCTTCTGTGTAATTGTGCCATTCATTTTTCTGAAACCTACATCACACCAGACCGCATCTCACGATTTCTGAATAATTATATGGAGAACATTCAAAACAATAAAACGATCATCTCTCTGTAATGTGACATGATGGCGACCTGATCCATCCTTCTTGTATAATCTCCAGTATCTGAGTGGCGATGGAAGACCCTGCACAGTTGTTCTGAGAATGTTAAGCATTCAGGCCACATTCTCTTGATGTCTTCCATCTTCCAAAAATGCTGTGATTCTAGCCGAATCTGTATCACTTAAAACCATCTTTAAACAAATTTGAAACTTAAAAATGGTTAGATAGAAGCGTTACAGAAAATCCAAAAAACGAGATTGACTAGTCAATGATTTATGGACAAAATACAGTTGTAAACACAAGTGGGAAATTTTAGCTGTGTTTTCTTTACCTCTCATCCTTTTAAACAGACCAAATATTGTAAGATAATCAATGGAGGATTTTGTAAGAGAATTAAAAATATTAAGAGTGGCCACTTTTTCCCTCTCAATGTACATTAGGATAACATTTAGTTATGTTGTAATCCGCATTTTTTGCATATTCAAAATTGAGCAGCATTAAAAAACCAGCTGATCATTAGAATCTTCAGCCTTTCTTACAATTTATTTTGAGAGACATGTGTCTTAACTTGTGAGTAGAATGTTTTCTAAAAAGTGAATTGCCATACTCACCCCACCTGAAATCATTTTTAATAACCCTACTAGTCCTGAACCCTAATCTTATTCCATCTCTAATGCTACCTAATCCCAAACCCTAGTCCTAACCTAACCCTAATAGTCCCGAACCTTAGCCTTAACCTCTTTACCCTAACCTACTCTAACTCTAACCTAGCCTGTTGTGCCTACTGGATCATATGACAACAGATATTTTTAAAACTAGGTTTCTTGTTTTGCTGAATATTGCATTATATATAGTGATCATGAAACATGTTCTTTGTTTTATTTATGTTTTTATACATATTGAGACATACTTGGTAGATCTCTTGAAAATAATAATAATCTCCATAAACCTTACCTCTGCCCCACCTAACCTAACCAAATCATTCCCCAACATTACCTAACCTAACCAAGCCTGCCCCTAACCTTACCTTATTTAATCAAATCTATTCCAAACAATACCTAACCAAACCTCTCTTCACCTTACCTCGCCTAACCCTAACCTGAAATCTCCTAACCAAATCTCTCACAACACTGACCATCCCTACCTAACATAACAAAACCTAACTATTACTAAATTGTTATTATTTATTTACATTATTATCATTAAATAATTATCACTAATGTTATTATTATCACGTTAATACATAATATTACATATTTAAAACTAGATTCCTTGTTTGGCTGAAGATTGTGGCATATTATTTATTATGGAACATCTGTTTTGCATTATTTCTGTTTTTGTACTTAATAAAATTTACTTGGTGGATCTCACAAAATAACCTTCCTTAACCTATCTCTAATCCTAACCTTACTTAACCCAACCCATGTGCTGGATTGTATGACAATTGCTTTCCAGGCTACTTTTATTAAGACAATGTCCCATGTATTAACATCTCACAAAATTACATTAACCTTACCACGCCTAACTTGTCTGTAACCCTGACCAAACTTCTCTGTGCCCTTACCTCACCTAACCCAAACCATTCCCTAACCTAATTCAAACTATATTCTTGTTCATATGACAATTGCTTTTCAGACTAAATTACAAAGTTCAACTTAGTGAGAGTTGGTTGTATTAATTTATAGCTTAACAATGAACAATATTTGAATTTTATTTAAATGGTATACATTTTACATTTATTTATTTTTTTTATTTTTCCAGGCACTTTAATTCCAAAAAGCTGCGTTGAAACATTGCAAGAAGCTTTGGCTAGCGACGCTGAAAAAGTGAGCGAAGAAGTATTTTAAAAATACTTCGCCTTCAATGCAGAAAGTGTTTCACAGCGCCACTTAAAAAAAAATAAAAAAATAAATAAAATAAAAAAAAGTCAACACTAAAACCGTTCTATCCATAGAATCTGGTAGAACTTATCGGCTGTACCGCATTTTGTTAGTTTTACGTTCAGTTCATGCGGTCGGATTCATGCCCTGTATGAACGCACAAATGCATTGTTATGTTCCTAATATATTCTAGGTTGTAATTATTAAAAAAATATATGATAAATAAAAAATTAAAATGAAATTTGTTTAAAGTACAAAACTTAAACAATGGGGATCGGTAGCTTTTCCGTTATAATTAAATTAATTCGATACAAAATTCATTTGTGAAAAAATAAACTTGTTTTTTATTACATTTTAATTTTTTATGTAATAATTAAGGTTAATAACTCGATTGACTTCGTTTTGCCACTTAGTAAACCACTTGTTTTTACTTTGATGTAGCTCTCAATTTGCTGTACCCATTTAACAATGTTTTTATCAATAAAAGTTGACACAATCATATGCTAGTCATGTATTTCTAATTAAATGGGAACATTTAAGGAAAGTTAGAATTTTTTCTTACAATTCATATTATAAACACCTCGTGGTGCTCGTGCGTGTTAATACACCCGATTGAAAGTGGTTTAAGGTTTTTTATTCTTTTTTTCTTCTTTTTTTTAATCAAATTTCAATGGCCTTCTTGAAAAACGCATAAAAAACATGGCCAAAACTAGAAAGTTTATCCAATGGGTTTTTGACATATCTTAGTTTTTTAGACCATTTTAATAATTTATGCCTTATAAAAAAATATTAAAAAATTCTTGGGTCTGTATGTTTTTTTTGTAAATGGTCAGACTACCATTAGTAGCGACTCTCAGAGCTAAAGCCGAGTCAATTCTTCCTATTAAACAGGTAAACTCATATTTTTCTATATTGCTAGCGTTTAAGAACAAATATATTTGGTTTGGTGTGCACAGTATTTTTGTGTATATAAACTGAAAATATTGTAATTTCCCCTTTCAAAAATTGTATGGCGCTGATTTCTATTGTTTGTTTTTTAAAATATATTATACGAAGTGTGTATATATCTGCAAGGCTAGGTTAAAAAAAATATACATTGAAAGGAAAAGATAAAACAGCAGTAACTATCAGCTTTTTCTGCGTTTAACTTAATGGTTATTTGTTCTATTTAGGGGTATCATTTTTTTAAATATACATGTACTGGAATATAAATATCAGCATTTGTTTAAAAATAATACATAAAAAAATTAACTTAATATGTATTAAAGTTGCATATTTTTTTTCTAATATATGTTGAGGAGGATTCGGCTTTTTAACACATTGACTGCCTGGTCGGCCTGTGCTGGATTTATTCAAAGGTTTAAAGTGACAAGAGTCAAAAAAGCGTAGTCAGCGTGTTAATAAAATATATTTGACTTTTGATCCTCTGTAAATTCAAACTTCAAATGTTTATAAACGTCTAAATTGTCCTTTTTTGTCCAAAGCAAACGATGATTGCACAAAATAATTTTTTTGTATAGAATCAACATTGAACATTTTTTTATTATAAGTTTTGTTTGTACTTTCTTTGTGTATGTGTATACCGGTGTTTTTCTTATTCAACTCTTATTGCATGTTATGACATAGATAGTTTGGAACAGCACCACTGAAAATCTGCCGTTTTTATCGCATTCACTACGGTATCTGAATTTTTTTTTAAACTAAAACATGCCATACTTAACTGGTATTTTTTTAATGTTTGAAACCGATCAAATCTAAAGACTTTTGTAAATTAGAATGGTGCAGATCCATTTTAACCGGTGTCAGTCGAGCACACGAGTTTTAAAATATTCAACTTACCTGGAATCACAAAACACTGATGTGAAATAATTTATTCAAAAATATTATTAAAAAAAAGTCCTGATTATACATTTAAAAATAATCCTTAGAAAGCACCAATCCAGGACTTGTGAAAATATTCCAATCATTTGATCAGAACGATTTTACAGACTAAAAACTACATTTTTTTTTTTTTTTTAGGACATAAGGGAACAATAATTGAGTCACACTTTATATTCTAATTTGTTGCACATAAAAACTTGTAATTTTGCTCTTAACTTTTTTTTTTCTTTTAAGCTTTTCTTTTATTCAGCTTTATCAGTATTGAAATGGCTAATTTTGACCGCGTATTTTTTGTTCTGTCGTATTTCATAACCTAAATACTTTTTATTAAAACGGAGGAATTATGCATAACGATTTTTAAGAATATGTTAGACAGCTGAATGTATTTAAAATAAAAATAATGTATTAAAGTGATTTTAGTATACCTACAGCCTGTGTTGAAGGTGTATTTGGATGTAACATATTTGACATACAAATTTTAATATAGTAGTGTTAAGGGAAAACAGAAAAAAAATATTTTTGTCTGATTAGGTCTAGCTTTGTGTTGGAATTTAAAAATTTGGCACTAAAGTTCATTATTTGTAAGAAATTTTCTTTAAAAATATATTATTTCAGCCCTCTTCAGTGCTGATTTTTTTTCTTTCTTTTGAAGTAGTTTTTTTTTTTTTTTTTTTTTTTTGAGTTAATTCGAGCAATTTTGCAATTAAATATACGCAAAATTGAAAGGAAAAAAAGATCAAATTTTACAATGTAAATTTGATTCATATCGAAAGACTGATTTGATCTCTGTCGAGTTCTTAGATTTCAGTGGGCTTTTTGAGCAATAAAAACGAACCAATTTGATATTGATATTTTTTTTCCTTAAGGTTTTAATTGCACAAAACATCCACAATTTTTAGTGTAAATATTGGGCTAAAATAAAATAAAAATCTTCTTTTTTTATTTTTTTTTAATTCTGCATCAAGAGGGCTTAAATAACTAAGTAGGCTTTAATTAAACAATTTTAATTTGAAAAGTTGAAAGAAGCAACTGAAAAAAAATTGATAGTAAATAAAGTACATGTGTTTTTAGGACCTGTGTATATATTTATTCCTTGTATATGTAATGAGCATTAAGTATGTTTTATTGTTTCAAGTTATTATTTAGAACCCTTATAATTTTCCAAATATAAGTATCGCTTAAAAAAAAAAAAAATTTTTTTTCTATTATAAGTATTTGCAGTTCGTCCCCTTTTTTACACAAAGGACGGATGCCTCTGTGTTTACGAGGATCACTGCGTTGATTGTGATTAACTGAAGTTTTTATAAGATTAGTTTTTAAAGCGGAAAAAAAACCATTACCAGCAAAGCTGTGTTGGGAAATTAGTTTTAAATTTTGCTAATTTTATTCTCTGTAAAAAAAATTGTCATAATTGATAATAACAATCAGACATGAGTTTGAAATTCCACTATTACAAAATTGCAGAAGCTCAATACACAACAAAATTAAAAAATATACAATATAAATAAAACATAATTGTAACAAATCTTTACTAATTTTCTTTTACCAAATATAATTATGTGATTTATACTTTGCTTTTATTATCCTCTCCTTTCAAACCCCGTCATAAATAACGCCGCCTTCCTGTGACCCAACTGTAGGGGATAAGGGTAGGGATAAAAGATTCCTATCCGGTGCTTGTGCCTTCTTTGGTGACAGTAAAACTGTAGCTTGTTTACCTAAGTTTAAATTCAGTGGATTGAACATAAGGACACCAGGCTCCCACGCTTTTTTCCATTTTTGAGTTGTTAGTATCCTGACTTCCATCATACCCTGCAAGTAAGAATTGACCTTCATAGGTATACTTTTGGCCCACTCTACTTTTTCTGGTATGAGTACTTTGTGCCTTTTGGTGGAGTTATATTTTGCAGTAATGGCGTTTATTAGCATGCCTAGTATGGCATCTGCCTTTATCTCCTCTGAATCAGCCATCAAATTTTAAAATAGGAGACAACAAAGAAATAGCAACTTTCTTTGACATCAAAGGAGCCCAGCATTTGATAATAATGAAGCATTTGTCACATCACTGAGACAGTGAGGAACTGACAAAACCTGCTGCACATGGATAGAATTCATGCTAAAAAGCAGCAAAGTGTGACTTCCATCTTCCACAAAAAAATAGAAGCAATGCAAGGAGAAATACTCTCACCTCTACTGTGAAATGTGGTTGTGACCTCATAAGCAAACTCAATGAAAGCGAAATCTATATCCAATTCAGATGACATTGTTATACTAGTAAGGGGAAAATTTGCCTCAACACGAAAAGAGCTCACCCAAAGAGTACTCAATATGGTAGAGCATTGGTGCTCACAACTAGGACTTAAAGCAAACCCCTCAAATTATGCTAATTGTATTTGGACTCTAGTTTCGGACCGGCGAAGAATTCAACTCAACCTCTTTAGATACATATCGCCCATATTTTCACCGGCTCTTCTCAGAGCCACGCTTGAGTTACTCAAGAACTAGGGTTTCCACTTGGAAGACTAGAAAGGACCCACGGGTCGTACGAGCTCACGATCTCCGGGGTGCCCGGTACAGTCGGACAGGTGGAAGTTCTACCTCTCACTCAACGGTCCTTTTTAGGACCAAAAGCCTCCTCGCCGGCTCTACGGAGCCCACGACTTAGAGTGCCCTTCTCGTCTGCTTGAAAGGGGTCTTGTGCTGTAGAGCTCACGTTTGCGGGCTTCCCGGTAGGGTAGAACAGTTCGGACCTTCCTGGGTACAATACCTGCCCGTAAGGTTTAACAGCGCTCGGAAGGACCCCAACAACTGGTGACCCCCTGATGTGGACACGCATCACGGATGAGGCTAACACCAGCAATCAGCCTCAGGAATAGTCACAGGAAGTATCCGCCGTGGGTCCGGTACCACGCATACCACCCTTCTGGAGGAGCGACCCTGCCTTATGGTTTATCCAGATAGAAGCCGTCTTCGCTACTTCAAGAATAGCATCAAGTTCTGCTAAATATCAGCTGGTGGTCGCCAATCTCGAATCGGCACAACTACAAGTGACTGACATCCTGCGGAATCCTAGCAAGACACCGTACGAAGACTTGAAAGCTCGCTTACTTAACACTTTCGAGGAAAGTGAAAGTGTTAAAGTTAAGCGGCTCCTCGAACAGACTACTCTCGGAGACGAACGACTGTCACTCTTCCTTCGTTCCATGAGACAAAAAGCTGGGAACCTCGTCTCAGAGGAACTTCTATGGAATCTGTGGCTAAGAGCTCTTCCCAAAAGGATGCAAGAGATCCTCGCGACTGTTGACGTCGCAGACCTTGACAAATTATCTATAACGGCAGATAAGATAGCCGAAGTCGAGGCTGCGAACATTTACGCTGTCGAAAGCTTAACAACATCAACAAAAACTTCTGCTGTAGACACCTTGTCTCAACAAGTAGCCGAGTTGACAAAAAAACTCGAGCTTCTGCAGGGACAGCTCTGACGTCGATCGCGAAGCCACCCACGAACTCCCTCACCTCAATCTTTATGAGAGAAAAGTATTGTATATATAGGTAGTAAGGATATTTTCAGAAATGTCGTAATAGCCAGCTGATAAAAAGAAGTTATATGTCCAAAAATATTTGGGTGCATCTGCATGTGTCGCATCTGTGCAATAGCTGGTCGATACAGAGGAAATGACTTTGAGTAGGATTTTAGGATCAGGTAGTAGGTAAAATGGAGGATTTTTTAGTTTCCAGAGCACACTGAGTGCAATAATAAGGTTTGCTCCACATCTAGGAATACACTGGACTCCGATGTGCACCATGAAGAGGATGGGTTCTAAGATACTCCTTGTGATAAGCCAGCTGAGGGAAGGAGCCACTGATAACTTGAAAGTTTTGGTTAAGTTGGATTTTATGATCAGGTAGTAAGTAAATGGGAGGACTCTTAAGCTTCATGGACTCTGGTATATACCATGTAGTGGATAGGTCCTAAGATACTTGTTGGATTTTAAACCTCTTAAGCTCATGGACTCTGGTGTATACCATATAGAGGATAGGTCCTAAGGTAAGTAGGAGGACTTCTTAGTTTCCGGAGCAACCCTGGGTGCTATACTGAATAAAAGGTTTGCTATTCATCTAGGAATACCCCGAACTCTGATGTAAACCATGATGTTCCTTGGGTAACATCTATCTGTGGGATAGCACACTGTGCCCCTAAGAACTCGCCAGCAGAAGGATCAAACGCTTACTTAGGAATTGTACCTTTCACTCACTGCTGAATATCGGATGAAGAACGTCTGAACCCAAATTGGTGGTTAGAAATTAGACTGTGCTAATCAAGTATGGGAGAATGTGCTTAAAAAGTAGTTTTTCTAGGATTTTACCAATATAAGCGATAGAGTAAGTAGGATGATGTAAGGTGATCAGGTCTTTTAGACTTTGGAAGCATCATGGGAGAAATTCCTATTGGGGTGGGAAGTATGTTTCTAAGGACAGCATTCGAAATGTAGGTAAGGATTTGGCAGATAAATAGTCGTAACACAAGAGGCATCATCTAGGAGTCTTTCTAAAGAGACCTTTGTTGTCGGTGAATAGTCTTAGAATCGTCGTTGTCTCAAGGTCTGATAACATTTTCTGCGTTGTCTATGTCCTTGGGCGTTTCGAGTGATATGATTCATGATTTTCAATCAACTTTGCCTTTAACGGAAATAAGTTTTGGAGGCGATGGGGGATTGTGTCTAACATAAGTAGGACATGCCTATCTGATGAAAGGTTAAGAATATGAGGTTATATTTGTCTTATGTTTTATATAGACAGGATGCTGCAATTTGAAGGAAATTTTGAAGATTATAGAGTTCTCGTTTTATTCACTTGTTTTCAACGTGGTAAAGTGTAAAGTATTCCTCGATATATTCGACCTAAAACAACGTCGTAAACGGTTCTATATAACACCCTAATTTGCATAATCATACATTTTCTCTGCAAATGGGTCAACGGGTCGAAATGCGACCCACGGCGCTTCTTCCTTACGCGTAGTTTCCTTTCATCCGTTAACCGGCCTCTTTTATTCTACACATCGAAAACAAGTTGTGTAGAAAATAAAATTATAAAGACAAAAATTTTCTTTTTTGTACAACTTAAAAAAGTTAATGTACTGGTGAATGGAAACTTTTCTTTTCTCGGGAACGCAACCACCAAGGGTCATGATTGTCCCAATCTCACTATCTCAAAGGTTCAAAGGCGGGCATGCGGGGTAGAGCCACAGGTCGCGGGATATATTCTAGTATATTTACTTCTTTTATTTATTTATTTATTTTTATTTTATTTTATTTTTTTTGACTGGGGCTTCCGACATCAAGGTCATTTCAGCCCCCAACTAAGTCTATATTCTATTTACCCTTTCAAACACTACATTCATACAAATAAATATATCCATACAATACACTCATTCCGTTTGGTCGGTGGAGTACATGATATTCCTCCACCGACCCTATATTCAAACTAATCTAGATTGGGGTCGATGGATACTTTTATAAATATTCCGCCATCGACCCGGAACACACACTCTTACGCTCTCATCGTTCGAGGGGTGATGACGTTATATTTCACCCTCACCCCTCGCCATTCACGCTAATAAATACATGCACTCAGACAAAACATATAGACACACAACACATAAGACCATACTATATACAATTAAAAAAAAAAAAATCCCTTAAAAAGCGGAACAGGGGACTGAAACTCGTGTTCGAGAACTCTTCTTAAGTCCGGCGGCATGCCTACACGATCTCTGTATGGAGCCAAGGCATGACACGCCTGTATTATGTGGGACACATCGAGTAACCTTTCTCTGCATAAGGGGCACCTGCGCGGGCTTTGGCCCAAAAGCAGGTGCCCATGTGTCAACCGCGTATGGCCAATCCTCAGTCGGGTGAGGACGATTCCTCGTCTCCTGCTCAGATTCTCTGAGGGCCATCTACCGGCAAGAGCCTCTCCGACGACCCCGCTTATTTATTATTATAATTTATTTTCCCCTTTTCTTTCCCTCCTTTTCCTTTTAATACATTTTATTAGCCAAAAAAAGTCAACAAAAGAAGGACAAACAGTGGGGAGTTTATATTTTGTCGAGTAGATTTGCTGATTGAGAAAATTAAACAAATTACGTATGTGGTTATCGCCTGGTATTTCTTGGATGCTTACAGGCAAGGAGTGCAGAAGTCTGTGGACTGTATAATGTGCATGACATAAGTATATGTTTGATAGTGATGATGTGGTTGCACATTCCGCAAATTGGAGGTGCCTCTCGCGCCATCAAATGACCCTTCGTGGCTCTACAGTGTCCAATCCTCAACCGTGCAAGAACCACTTCTTCCCTTCTATTCCTGAATGAAGTAGGCCATGCATCTACAGAGTCCCTTATTTCCCGGAGTTTGTTTTCACATATATTAGCCCAGACCTGTTACTTTTGACTTGTAAACTACAGTCATATCACACTTTGGGACGTCCCTGATTTGAAGGCCTGCTTCTTTTGCAGCTTTATCTGCCAAATGGTTTCCCTTAATATTTACACATCCGGGAACCCAAACGAAATAAACGCTCCTTCCCTGCAGTTGGAGGCTCCCCAGTGACGCCAGTACCTCCTGCACATTGGGGTCATCTGAATAGGGGTGTTCCAAGGCATGTAAGGCAGATTCTGGATCAGAGCAAATCACGTAGCCACTATTGTTATCGGAACACATGATATTTAGAGACTTGCGTATTGCAAGTAGCTTGGCGCTATAGTTGCTACAGAAATGATGCAGAGAGAAAAGAAATTTGCTAGAGCCACGTTCAGACGCAGCTCACACGCCCCTGGAGCTTCTTGATCCGTCTGTGTAGATAAATGTCGCTTGTGGGAGTGCGTGTTTTATTTTCAAAAACTCCTGCTGGTATACATGAAAAGGTGTAAGGGCTTTGCGATATTTTCCAAGTGAATACAAAATTTTCGGTTTGGGAAATGTCCAGGGAGAGATGGGAGCCACTGATTATTTTTGTACTGGAGGGTGTATGGGTTTGGGGTTTGTAATTCGTGCAAGAGTGTGTATATACCGAGCGGAAAGGTATTTCGTAAAGAATCACGTAATAAGCTGTCAGATATCAGACTAGTCCCGGGTAATGGACGATTTAGTAAGTGTGTCTTAGGGGACACGATATTTGCAAAAAACTTCAAATCAAGAAAGTCACGTCTGAAACTTAAAGGCATTTCTCCAGCATCTGCATGAAGGCTGTGCGAGGGACTGCTCCGGAAAGCACCTGTGATCAACCTAAGTCCCGTATTCTGTATTATGTCGAGCAGGCCGATTTTTATTAGCGGAATTGTATGCATTACATCCATAGTCCAGTTGTGTTTTTATTAAATTTTTGTATAATATCATGTCATGCTGAGTCGATCAGCATCCCAAGAGCATGAACTAATCGACCTTAGTACGTTCATTAGAACGAAGGCAATTTGTTTTTAATCGTTTTATATGTGCATTCCAATTCAGTGTCCTGTCAAAGATGAACCACAGGTATCGGACTGTATCTGAGTATTTTCTTCTTTAAAAGGTAAGCTTGATTAAAGGGATTTCCAAGTTTTATGGTGAGGCCATGATACTCCTTCTATGTGTGGTATTTCCTTTCACCTAAGTTTATTCTTTTATAATCGACGAGGCTTTTATAATAAATTAACTAAAATTTGACAATTTATCGCGTCTCGGTTTTGAGCTTCCCAGCATATCTCCTTCATTTATCTACTCTGGCTGTTAAACTAAATATAATCTTAAACTGAATCATTGTAGTTGAATTTTGACCCGCTGTCAAAATTTTCTCAAACTTGATCGCGAATAATCAGGAATTCTTAATATTCAAAGTTGATAGTGGGTAAAACCATGTTGGCACTGGGTCCGTCTACACTCGCGGGTTTGATCTCATTCAAACTTATATGATTAACGTGGAATGCACGTCTCAAGAGAACCCAAAATGGATATGCCAAAGGCTCTGGTAAAACCTAGAGAAATCCCAAGACCTTATAATCATACAAGTGTCGTGGTCAGGGGTATCAGTGACAATACACAAAAATTGTAAATACTTTTATTATTGCCCACACTTATAACTCTTACACTCTTATTCAAACTTAAAAAAACTAACAAAAAAACCTCTTTTTCCCGGGGCATTGTGGTGCAGTGCAAGGGTAACTGAAATTTCCCTTTCAGAGAAACAACCACCACACAAGCATGCAGCCAAGAGCCTGCGGCACGTCAGCAGTGACTTGCAGCGAGGAAGGTGAGACCACTGTTGAATCAATGGTGACACATATTGGACAACTTGCTAATCACATGTCGTCACCACAATACCAAATTGCCAAAAACGGAGATCCACAAGACAATGGGTTAAAAATAAGTCTTCCCATCAATGGGACTGCATGCGGAAAAGTGCGGAGAGATTGCCTGAAAGATAAAATAGTCGTTTATTAAGCTTTTAGGCTTGATAAAAATTCTTAAGCTTAAAGAAGATCTCTAAATAATACTGGAGACTGCATAATAGGCCAGTATTGGTTCCTGTTCGTTCGTGGGTAAGGGCTGATAAGTTGAGGGCAACTGACGAGAGTAAAAGGTACGTTGGTGCGTACTGGCTGATAACTTGAGGGCAAGTGACGATGCAAAAGGTACGTTGGTGCGTACTGGCTGATAACTTAAGGGTAAGTGACGAGAGCAAAAGGTACGTTCGTGCGTACTGACAACTTGAAAGCCACTCGGAGGACGAGAAGAGAAGTTGCGTTCGTGGGTGGGTACTGGCTGATAACTTGAGGGCGTCTGACGAGAGCTAAAGGTACGTTCGTGAGTACTGCAGCTTGTGAGCTACTGACGAGAGTAAAAGGTACTTTCGTGAGTACCGACAACTTGAAAGCCACTCGAAAAACGAGAAGAGAAGGTACGTTCGTGCATACTGACAACTTGAAAGCTACTAGTGTACAGAACATTTTTTAAGTAAAAGTAAGTAAAATGGGTTGACTTTGAAATTTTAATTTTTGTCTAGGTTGTGCTAAATTCAATACTATATGCACATTAGTCGTTTTTCTATTAATTTTAAATGCAGATCCGGAAGTTGAAAAAACAGAGCAATCTGTCCCTGTTCGACTTTTAGTCAACCAAAGAACTGACCATCAACACCGGCCTATGATCATCCAGTTTTCTGAGGAAAATTGTTGAAACGGTCATCCGGCCTGTTGCAAGTCCACTTTTTTTCTTCTTCTACTTTTCTTCTCCCAGTGAAAAATGCTCTGGTAGATGTCGCACTGGAGTAGGGCGTGACGTCGAAAGTCGGCCTGATTTCCGATTACTTAGCATGGACGCACTGATCGCAAACCCGGGAGGTAACTTCAGAGTTCAGTCGGTCAGTCGGCACTTCGGCAGTCCTGCTTTGCAGTTTGCCTTTTCACTTTTCATCCAGCAGACTTAACTGAAGTCACTCTAAGTTCGACCCGCTCCCGGTGACTGCCGAGCCTCCAGTTAGCAATGACATGGTCTACTTCAGACTATTCGGCTATTTTTCACTTCTCGTCATCCTGACGGCCGCTTCCCTTTTTGTCATATCGTTTATTTTATTCACAAACGGCGGTGACATCGTAACAAGTGAGTAAAAAAATTTTTTTAACTTAGAAAAAAAAAAAAAACTATCCTCCCTATGTCGTTTGCTTGATCACACTATTATAAAAGCCATTAAAGCGTTTTTTTATTCCCTAGAAAAAGGTATCAATTTAAAAAATATTCAGATAAAAACTAGGTTGATATATTATTGTACAATGCACTTCTATACTTTGCTATACTAAATGCAGTGGGTAAATTTTTTTCCTTCCACTGCGACTTGTAAACTAAAAAAAAAAAAAAATCGGCCAATTCTATTTTTTGTTTATTTTACATAATAACTAGGTATAAAGAGTTTCAGTTTACTTGACATTAATATATTTTAAAGAGCCTTAGGGTTTTTTTAAATTTAATTAAACGATTTACTCTTCCAAATACATTTGCGGGTTACAGACACATATAGAGCTTAAGCGAGTAACAGACAATTAACAAGCTTATAAATAAGTAAATCAGCAAAAAACTATAGTGCATGCACAAAACAATATCACAAATTAACGAAGTCATTCTTCTTTATGAATTTGAAGAGCTCAGGCTTCTTGGGTAGATTTGCCAATTTTGTCGGCCAACGTTCTCCCCTTGTGATGGTGTCCTTAGAAGGTCACATCGCTACAGCTCAAAAATTAGCCAGTCCAGGATGATATGTTTCCAGGTTTGGGGGCGTTCATCCAACAGTAACACACATCGCCCTGTCAATAATGAAATCTCTTCAAGTAAGCCTTATTTTTCCCTAGACCGCTGAGATCTTGCGTTTCTTCCAAGTAGTGAGGATTGGAGTTTTTAGACGAGTCGACGGAAAGAACTTTTTAGTGTGTGACCCATTAATGCATGTGACCCACTTTTCTTCAATTTCCTGATTTAGAGCTGCCTGGATATAAGTTGTGGAAACATGGTGGTATGTCAATTGAAGACTTTCATCTAGTGAACACATTTTGCCTCTAGAATGTTAGGGGTAGGGATAAGGATAAAAGAGGTGTCCACAAGGCATTCTGCACCCTGGCCTGAATAGATTCCTCTAATTTGATAAGTCACTCGCTAGCTTCAAGCTGTTATTGTTGTTGTTCAAAGCCATCCCACTGGCTCCTTAGTGTAGTATCTTGTGCTTTTCCTCTCCTGGTTGCAAGGATCTGCACCTATGACCCTCACAGAAACACAAAATGTGTTCTGCAGTCTCCTCTTCCTCCATTAGCAGTATCTGAACAGTGTTTCTTCTGTCTGTACTCCTATCCGGTGCATATGCTTTCTTAGGTGGCAGTTCCCTGTCAGGAGTTCAACTAGAATCCTGGTTCTGTTGCGGTTGGCCTCCAACAATCACTTTGTAAGTCTTGAGGATGGCCCTTCTATAAATTTCTCCACTTACCTCATTCTTGGGGTATTGTTCCACCAGGTTTTGGACTCATTAAGGATACATTTTCAGGTGGTAGACCACAATAGTGTTTGGGGCCTAGAGAATTGATATTGGCTTGTTTTTTGGCCAATATGTCTACATTCTCATTGCCTCTATTTCTGAATGCTCATGGAACCATACCAGGATCAGGTCATTGGTGTCATAGACGTCTGGTAGGGTTCCATACAATGTCATACACTTTTTGCCTTTACCTCACATGAGGCTAAGGCCTCGTAAGCAAACTCAATGAAAGCGAAATCTATATCCAATTCAGATGACATTGTTATACTAGTAAGGGGAAATTTTGCCTCAACATGAAAAGAGCTCATCCAAAGAGCACTCAATATAGTAGAGCAATGGTGCTCACAACGAGGACAGAAAGCAAACCCCTCAAACTATACTAACTGTATTTACCAAGAAAAGAAACCTAGAAATACAAGGCCTATACTTCTTCAAGGAAATGTTGCAGGTAAAGAAGCAGAGTTCCGTGGAACCACCACCTGCAGCACACGATAACAAAAAGTAAAATATCGTTAATGACCGTGGGAAGAACACTCATGTTTTTGCAGGTTTCTGAACCTTTATGACAGCAAGGTCTTGCAAGATTGTAAGGATAATTTCAGAAATGTCAGCACTCTTACAATACTTACATGTGAAAGCCAGCTGATAAAAAGAAGCCCTGAGTACTACACTGGACCAAAGGCTTCATATCTAGGAATACACTGGTTGAGCTCAATAGTGGAAGGTCTCTGGTGAATAATGTGCAAAGTGATATGTCCAAAAATACTTGGGTACATCTGCATGTGTGGCATCTGTGCAATAGCTGGCCTATACAGAGGAAATCGTGACTTCAAGAAGGATTTTAGGATCAGTTAGTAGGTAAATGGAGGATTTTTTAGCTTCCAGAGCACGCTGAGTGCAATAATTGATCGAAGGTTTGCTCCACATCTAGGAATATACCGGACTCTGATGTGTATCATGAAGAGGATGGGTTCTAAGATACTCCTTGTGATAAGCCAGCTGAGGGAAGGAGCCACTGATAACTTGAAAGTTTTGGTTAAGTTGGATTTTAAGATCAAGTAGTAAGTAAAAGGGAGGCCTCTTAAGCTTCATGGAATCTGGTATATACCTAAGATTCTTCCTTGTGATAGCGGCTAATAAAAGGGGCCACTGATGATTTGAGAGAGTTGGTTAAGTTGGATTTTAAGTCTCTTAAGCTCATGGACTCTGGTGTATATCATGTATAGAATGGGTCCTAAAATCCTAATCCTAAGTGGCAAGAGGATATACATAAAGAATATTCTCACTCTGATGTGAAATGTGTTTGTGGACAACCTTATATACAAAGATTATGTGGAGATCGTGAAATGCGGTCTGGTGTGATGTAGGTTTTAGAAAAACTCGGCACTCTCAACACAACATGCAAGAATGGCACAATTACACAGAAGACAAACACTTTGAGCCCTGAAGATGATCTCAATAAAGATCGAAACGTTGGCACGATAAAGAAAATGTTTTTCTGATACCTACATTACACCAGACCGCATCTCACGATTTCTGAATAATTATCGATTAACGGTCACTAATCATCACACATTTCTACACACACGTTTTAGAAAAACATTATCTTTATCTTGCCAACGTTCAATCTTTATTGAGATCATCTTCAGGGCTCAAAGTGTTTGTTTTCTGTGTAGATGTGTTATTCTTGGGTGTCGTGTTGAGAGTGTTAGAACCTACGTCACACCAGACCGCATCTCACGATTTCTGAATAATTATCTATTAACGGTCACTAATCATCACACATTTCTACACACACGTTTTAGCAAAACATTTTCTTTATCGTGCCAACGTTCAATCTTTATTGAGATCATCTTCAGGGCTCAAAGTGTTTGTTTTCTGTGTAGATGTGTCATTCTTGGGTGTCGTGTTGAGATTGTCAGAACCTACGTCACACCAGACCGCATCTCACGATCTCCAAAAATCATTGGCTAACAGTCACTAAACACCACATACTTATATACAAACTAATTGAAAACAAAATATATACCCAAGGGAGAAGACATACTGGCCAGGGGAAAGCTCACCTCAACATTAAAGAAGCTCTCCCAAAGAGCACTCAACATGGTAAAGCAACACTGCTCACAATGGGGACTGAAAGCAAAACCCTCAAAAACTACACTAATTGTGTTTATCAAGAAAAGAAACATAAATACAAGGCCTGGGCTTATAGAAAGAAATACTGTAGAAACGAGGTTAAATACCTAGGGATTTGATGAGAAATTAACTGGAACCCTCACCTACTACAATGTAGATGTAGATGATGTACATGTAGATGTAATTTTTTCAGGGTATGTTATACTGCGCCCTTTAAGAGCTATTGTATCCTCCGTTCCCTGCCTAAAGCACATCGGTGAGTCCTATTTCATCAAGAAACTTGATTAATAGGCCCGGTTTCAGAGGTTGAAGCTCTTATGGTCACATTATACATCCCAAAACATTTCCTCCTGCAGGCTAATGTACTCCGAAGTTTGTTAGTAAATGTGTTGGTGTCTCTTCTGCCTCCTTGTAGAATCTACATGTGCCATCTTGGATTGTTCCAATTTTCTTTAGTGTCCATTTAATCTGCAGTGTCCTGGTAGGATTCGCAGTCTCTTCCTGCTTCCTTTGGCACATTCTGTGATTTCTTGCCAAAATTGGTTAGAAGGTTCTTGGATTTTTTATGTCCAATGAGTGAATTCCATTGTTCCTTCATTTTCTTTTTGTCCTTCTGTCTGAGATATTCGTTAATAGTGTGGATTCCTATGCCCCAGAAGGGTTTGGGTCCTATCAGCGGTGTGGCAGCCCCTTTCCTTGCAAGGGTGTCCGCTTTCTCGTTGCCTTCTACTCCCATGTGTCCTGGGACCCAGCAGAGGCTGACTTTATTCTGCATACCTAATATATTTAATTTGGTTTTGCAGTTCAGCACCATCCTTGAACTAATGAATCTTGAGCTTAGTGCTTTGATGGCTGCTTGGCTATCTGACATGATAGCTATATTCTTGTTTTTGTACCCTTTACTTAGATTGAATTGGGTACAACTTTCAATTGCATGAATCTCAGCTTGGAAGATACTGGTGTGTTTTCCCATGGGTTCTGAGTATTTGGTTCCGGGTCCAAATACTCCTGCCCCCGTACCGTCTTGTATTCTAGATCCATCTGTGTACCAGAGGATGGTGCCATTTTTAAAAGAGTTGTTTCCCTCTCTCTCTGTCCCATTCTTTTTTAGCACCCAGATATATTCCGAATTTTTGGTTACATTCAAACATCCTGTTCATGACATATCTTGGAGCCATGATGGTCTTTCCATATTTGTTGCTGTCTCTCCATTTCAGTTTTATTCCTGTTAGAGGTTTCTCTCTGATAAAGTTGATGATGGTTTTCTGTGCTGTCCTTTCTACCATGTGATGTAGGGGGATTAGTCCCAATATCTTTTCCATGCTAATTGTAGGACATGTTCTCATTGCTCCCATTATGCAGATACATGCAAGTCTCTGTATTTTTGTGAGTTCTTTCCTTTTGGTTATTTGTTCCTCTTTATCAGCCCAGGCTATAGCTCCGTATGTAAGTAAAGGTCTTACTATCATGGTGTACATCCATAACAGGGTTTCTGGTCTGCATCCCCAGTTTCTTCCTGCTATTCTTCTGCACACCATCAAAGCTCGTGTCGCCTTTGTGATGATNTTTATTGACTTTATCAATTCTAAAAATTCTGAATTCTACTCAGACGGAATTAATAAGTTACCAACACGTTGGGAGAAATGTATTGAGAGTATGGGAAATTATTTTGATTAAAGAACATTGCTTTAAAGTAACTAGTTTCTTTTTTTTTGTTTAATACCAAAATCCTGCATTATTTTCCGGACAACCCAATAGTATGGCTTCTGTTAGAATCTACTCTCTCAGTATCGGTTGTTTGTTGATGTGGCCTAGCCTTGCAAATGATTGTCCATTTTTAATAGTCTAATTGATACTGAACTGGCACAGGGTCACTTACTGGATCTGTCAGGGTTGTTGAAGATTCAAACGCATTTTGGCATTGCACCATCTTCAGTAAAGAGCTCCACTCAAGTCTGTTGTAATTAATATAACGATAAAAACAGTTGTATAGAAATAGTTTGAAATGAACTAAAAATAAAAGTGTCCAGTTTTTTCTTAGAGCGTATTTTTTTTTTTTTTTGTTCCTTCTACTGTGACCTAATACCTACCCCAGAAAGTGCACTATGCATAGTGTTTCTTCGTTCATTTCTCTATGTTTCAATGTTGTTTTTCCAAATTGGCAAGATATGTTCTGACGTCTCTGCTGTAATGGCAGACGTGGAAGGTTTCCTACCTCCGTTTGTCCCATTTTTTTAAAGGTGGTAGAGTGCTCCACGTATTTTTCCTAGTTTGTCAGTCTGCCTTTCGTGTCCTGGCACCCACATCAGAACTACCAGGCGTTTTACCAGGATTTGGAGATACATTAGGCATTTGACCAGCACCAAAATTGGAAGAGTTTAAGGCCATCGTGCTGCTTGACTGTCTGAGAATCTGTCCACCTTTTAATCCTTTTTTCAGTATTTCTTGAGCGCAGTTTCTATTGCATGGATCTCAGCTAGGTCAAAATTTGGACCTTTTAACCCCTCTCACCAGGTTCCATTTTAGGTCTATCTGCATACCACAATAACCTGTTAGTTTCAGTGTTTTTATAATGAAGGGAGAACTATGATGCAGTTTCAAGTATTTGTTAATACTTGTTGGTATCCAACTTGAGCCCTAGTTTGTAAATTATTTAATGAAGGTGGAGGAAACTAAAGCCAAAATTGCATATTTTCTCTATCATTCATAATTTACAGGATTATAATTTTTTTAATTAAGCAACTTGAGTGTGTGTACATAATTTGAACCAAATGATAGCTCAGTTTACTTGAGATATGGACCTGACTCATTTCTATAAATAGAAAAGAATTATATTCTGATTAATAGGTTTTTTGTATTATCTCTACAGGCAGATACGGCCAAGGGCGGAAGACAATTTTTATAAATGGAAGTTTGCTCAATGAAGTCTACATCGAAAGAATCGAACATTTGACGGAGGCATGCAAGAAGTACAAGGCGTCAGCGTCTGCGGACAGCATATGGGATAATAGAGATTTACTGGACCACATTCTAGTCGATAAAAAGCACAAACTTTTATACTGCTATGTTCCAAAGGTGTGTATTTTCATAACAATGCAAAACAAATGTTCAAATTTGATTGTCAGATGTGTTACCTTTTTTTCACATGAGCATATCTAATTTTTTCATTAATTTAAAATTAAAAAGGAAAACACATTAATGATATTCAATCAGCCTGGCCTTTCCTTGCTGTGTTGGGTATGTCAAACACGTTTCAGTATTTCGCCTGGAATTTAATCGTCTGCATTCATCATCGTCATCAGACCCAGCACTGGTCATGGCGATCATGACAGACCAAAATAGCGAGGACAGAACAGGATGATCGGTAACAACCAATTTACAGGTGTATCACCTTGCCTACACTGAGAAGTCTGACAATATTAAATCAATAAAATATAGCCAGTTTTATCATTAAATCAATAGAAATGTTTTAGTGCAGTAAAATCACCTAAAATGACCATTCATCCAGTGGTAGAGCAGCGGCGTATCTAGCCGAAGATCATGGGTTCGAATCCCGCTCGTGCCATTGACTTTTATCTCAACTAAAAACCTTAATTAATTATAATATGTTAATTGGTCAAGCGGACCACGAAATTAGTGAATTTAATGAGTTAAAAGAAGTACACTTCACTAAAGCTCTCCGTGGCCATTTCATTTGTTGCTGAAAATCCAATCCGATTACACGACATTTGAAAAATGGCAAAAAGGGGGGAAAATTCATAAGGTGGGGTTGAGATGGGAAGTTGATGTCCGAGTGGATCGAGGTCACGATAGCTCAAGTGGTAGAGCAGCGGCGTATCAAGCCGAAGATCGTGTGTTCGAATCCCGCTCGTACCATTGAATTTTTTATCTCAACTAAAAACCTTAATTAAATATAATATATTTTGTTATATGTTTCAGGTTGCTTGTACTAACTGGAAACGAATTTTTATGGTGCTCAATGGAAGTACTAATGAAACGGATGTACTTTCCATCCCGGCGAACCTCGCTCACAGTAGGCCTGAGTATCTAGCGTTGAGCAACTATTCGATAGCGGATGCGAAGAGTTTGTTAAACACTTACACAAAGTTTATTTTCGTCCGTCACCCATTTGAACGTCTTTTATCCGCTTATCGTAATAAACTCGAAAAAAATTACATAAATTCGAAGTATTTTCAATCTCGCTTAGGTAGGTATATAATTAAACATTATAGAGAGAAACCGACGAATTCATCACTAGTCAACGGCGATGATGTGACGTTTGAAGAGTTCACGGCATATTTGACAAAGTCGATGAGCTCCATGTACAACGAGCATTGGAAGCCGGTCGAAAGGCTTTGCGAACCGTGCCAAATTCAATACGATTTTATAGGCAAATATGAGACTTTAATTACAGATTCGAACTACCTTTTAAAAAGCATAGGAATGGGGAACATCAGTTTCCCTCACAATTCAAAACCATCAGGGACATCCAAAGATCTGAAAAAATATTTTCGTAAATTGTCATTGAATAGGATCAAAGAGTTGCTAGATATATACAAATTGGATTTTAAACTGTTTTCTTACACATTCCAAGATCTGTTCGGTTATGAAATAGCATAAATATACCAGTCAGAAATAGCAAAAAAAAAAAAAAATTAAATAGAGATTGTACCAAAATACATACATTTTAAACATATCCTTTATTAAATTCACTAATTTCCTGGTCCGCTTGACCATTTAATGTATTACAATTAATTAAGGTTTTTAGTTGAGATAAAAAAAGTCAATGGCATGAGCGGGATTCCAACCCACGGTCTTCGGCTAGATACGCCGCTGCTCTACCACTTGAGCTATCGTGGTAGAGCAGCGGCGTATCTAGCCGAAGACCGTGGGTTCGAATCCCGCTCGTGCCATTGACTTTTTTATCTCAACTAAAAACCTTAATTAATTGTCATATCCTTTATGTTTAACCTTTCGGCACCTGCGGCTATCGGCCATGTTCACATGTTTTCCTGAAATTTCTAGTTCATTTTTTTTTTGACATTAGCTTTTTTTTTAATAAACTGATTAATGTGCAAAACTTTTTCAACATTAAGTTCAATATATATATATATCATTTTTGGCTGTTTTGGTAACACCCGATGGCCCATGTATCTTTAATTTCTTACTCAGAATCATGTAAAAGGTCCTTGATCATTTCACAATGGAAGACTCACTACCGTTTTGATACTGCCCCGTGAGTGGTAAACGGTTAATTATTATTTTCCACTGAGTTCAATTTAATATATATGTAGTGTGGTGCATCCAGAAGAGTTTGCCCATGAAAATAATATCAAGAACATGAATTATTTTTGATTTATACTTAAAGAAGGTGAAGGGTTTCAATCCAATTTATGTAGTTTAATAGAGCAAATCTGTGATTGTGTTTGTTTTGACGTTATTATATTTATAGTTTATAGGTTAAATTGTTATTGAGTGAAAAAAATTTTATCTAGTTTTCCATTAGCATACCAGTTACATTTTATTTATCGAAAGTTTAAAGAAAAACTCACAAGGGATTGATGAGCTTTGTAGTTTCTAGTCTTTTCATTTTGTAACACTGAATATTTGTTTAGCTTTCTGTTATTTTTGTTTTTATGTATGTGAAATGTAAACCATATTTTCATATTTACCTTTTAACCGGTGATTCGAATTTTAATTTTATTTATTTTTTGACGAAGGTGAATCTAAGATTCTTTTATGAGCCACTTTGTCAGGTTGTAGATTTTTTCATTCCTTCAAAAGTTGCTGAATCATACCAGATTTTTTTTTAATGATAATACCTCCAGCTGACATGAAATTTCACTTACATCTTATGAGAGCACAAAAGGTTGATTTTGACTTTTTATCATTTGATATTGCTTTTAAAAAAGTTCAAAATTTAGAACAAGTACAACAAAAACTGGAATAAAATAATTCTTGTCTCAATTTTTTGGGGACAAAAAGACAATTGAAATTAAGGACAAAATTGTTTCAATTCAGATTACCCTAGAAAACCTGTTTTTTTTCCTGGTAGGAGACTATGACGAACACAATAGGAGGTGGAATTTTTGTAATTTTTAAACCACTCCTTCAGATGACTATGGGTGTTGTACGGTTAAAATTCAAGAGGTTGTCATCTTGTATTATTTTTGACTTTCATAATTATGCTCTATTATGCTTTAAAAAAAATTGTGTAAGTTTTTATTAACCATTAACATATAAAAATAATTTAAATTTAGTGTCAAAATAATGATTAAGCCAAGAGAACAAAATTACATTGTTTGTAAATAATATTTGAGGTCTGAAATATCGAATTACATTTAATTTTTTTTTAAATAGACTTGTAAAACTATGAGGTTTTTATTAAATCAAGACTGGAATTATTTTTGTTTTGAACTTTTGATTAATGGAAAAGTGTTTAAATTAGGGCTGTTCATATTTACGTGGGATGAGGATTCGTCCTGCTCAATTGCATTTATTCTTAACATGTTCATTAAGGCACTCCAAAAATAATGGGACCAAGTGTCCAACAACAAAAGTTGTTAGCTGATAAACAAAGGCATTAATTTATTGTTTGTGATTTTTTATTTGTATTTAATTTAATTGGTTTTGCAAGAAATGTATTTATTAGTAACGTAAAGTTGAAACGAGAAAAAAAAAATCTGTGATGTTCATGGGAATATTTTATAAGCAAATATAAAAATTTAATGACGATAATATAAATTTTCTTACCATCATGATTAAAATAGTCGATAAAACTTTTTCAATCGACCCAAACCAAATATGTGGTTGTACTGTCGATTCTCTTTTTGTAAACATGCAAATTTTTATGTAAAGGAGTACCTGGTTATATTGTAAACAATATCAAAAACTTGTATTTTCATAAATTTCTTAAATAAATGTATTACTGTTGGATTTGAAATTTATTTATATGAAAATCATTTGGTCCTGTCTGGTGCAATGAGAATGTCATTTATTTATAGACATTTCTTTAAAAGTAGCTGTACTGTATTTGTTGTCCTGGCTTCCTATACAATGCTTCATCCAATCTGCATCTTTCTGAGGTCTTCTTCAATATCGTCCAACCGTTTCTTTCTTAGCCTTCCTCGTCGCTTTCTACCACCTGGCTTGCACAAGTAAATTTTTTTACAGTAAATTAAGGTTTTTTAGTTGAGATAAAAAGTCAATGGCACGAGCAGGATTCGAACCCACGATCTTCGGCTTGATACACCGCTGCTCTACCACTTGAGCTATCGTGACCTCGATCCACTTGGACACCAACTTCCTATCTCAACCCACCTTTTGAATTTTCCCTCCTTTTTGCCATTTTTCAAATGTTGTGTAATCGGATTGGATTCTTGACGACAAATGAAATGGCCACGGAGAGCTTTAGTGAAGTATACTTCATTTTAAATCGTTAAATTCACTAATTTCGTGGTCCGCTTGACCAATTAATTGTAATATATTAATTGGTCAAGCGGACCACAAAATTAGTGAATTTTTTTACAGTCCTGTCCTCTGGCATTCTTTCCACATGGCTAATCCATGTGAGGCAGCTTGCTTTTGCTTCAGCCATAATATTTGGTTTTTAGTACAAAACTATCAACTCCTCGTTTGTTTGAATTCGCCAGTGGCCATCCATGTAAATTGTGCCAAAGATCTAACGGAGCATTTTTCTTTCAAAATACCTCAAAAAATCTTTGTCGCATAATGGTCCACGTTTCCCAGCTGTATAGTACCTCTGGATTCACTATCGTTCGATTTACTCTCAATTTAAATTTACGAGATCGGGACCTGAAAGTCTTCCTCAAAACAAAGCATCACCTGTTTACTGAGGCAACTATTGTCCAGATTTCTTTTCACTGAGCACAACGTTCATAAGCCTCATAACAAAATTTCTTAGATGATTCATCTATTGAAGAAAAGACCAAATTAAACACAGCCACTGGGATTTTTCAAAGCATCACGGTTCACTAGCAGCAAGATGTGCAATTTTGGATTTAAACATTTGTTTGGTGTTGATAGTATACCACATAAACCACTATTTAACACCACTAACTTTTTTATGACAGAAATGGATTAGTTATTTAGCTGTTAATTGATTGGCTGAAGTTTCGTCCAAATGAAACTCCACTGGCCCAGTCAAGTTTGGTTGTGTGATCCTCCAGTACATGTTTCAGGATATACTAAGTAAAATAATAAAATCCTTAGATGATGCAACTGTAGAAGAATACCCAGATTAAACACAGCCACTGGAATTTTTCAACACATTATGGTTTACTTGCAGCAGGATGAACAACTTTGGATTTAAACGATTGCATGTTGATAGTACTCCACAGAAACCACTATTAAAAACCAATAACCTTTTTTTGTCAGAAATTCATTAGTTATATAGCTGAAGTTTCGTCCAAATGAAACACTGCTGTCCTCAGTCAAGTTTGGTTATGCGCGATCCTGCAGTACACGTTACAAGTAAAATAACATTCTTAGATGATGCGTCTGTTGAAGAAAATCCGGGGATTAAACACAGCCACTGCATGTTTCAAAGCATGATTTACCTGCAAGCAGGATGAACAACTTAGGATTTAAACATTTGTGTGATGTTGATAGTACACCACAGAAACTACTATTAAATAACCATAACTTTTTGTGTCAGAAATTCTTTATTTATTTAACTGAAATTTCATCCAAAATGAAACAACACTAGTCTCATCACATTTCGCTAATCGCGACTAGTAGTGTAATCATTATGGTAGATCCTGCAAAAGGCGTAAGTACACTTGATTCTACAGGCTTCAGAGTGACATTAATCTACAGAGTAACATGCCTTTAGGAGATACTACACCAGCAAGTGTTTAACACAGATACTTAGATGAATGATGACCGGGTTGATTCGTCAGTGAAACGAGGGTGTCTAGAATGTACAAAAATAAATAAACAGTATGTACTGTTTTATGCCATTTTATTAATTAATTAATTGATGTACAGACTAAAGTATCTCCTTTAAGAGGTATATACTCAAGAGAAATTCTTTTAATATTTAAAGCAGAGAAGAATAAGGGTGTCAATGTATCTCGTAGACACTGGAGACGGCGAGCTCGGGTTTGTCGTATCCGAGTGCCTCGGGGGTGTCGACGCCGAGTTCGTCGAGTGTGGGCTTCAACTCCTGGAGAAGGTAAGAGTAGATATCAGGTCTGGCGGCGGTTTTCAACTTGAGAGCCTCGAGGAACCTGACGGCGAGGGCGTAGTCGTTGACCCTTCTGCAGGCCCTCAACGCAGCCTCGATGATCTTGGGCTCGGGGACGAGGTCCATGCCCGTGAGGTCATTCATCGCCTTTCGCACGTCCCAGTTGTCGATGTCCGGCCTGTTGAAATGCTTGAGGTACCTCTCGTCGAAGGCCTCGTCGGATTCTTGAGGCCCGTGGCTCATGCAACGCGCCACCCGGACCGAGGGCGTTCGGAGGGAACGGCACGCGTTCAACGCCGAAAAAGCCGCCGTCCTCAACATTTTCAACTTTTACTTCGGTTTATCGAGTGGGTCAACTCTGGGAGAACTTAAGCACTCGTATCTGAACTCTGAAGAAAATCCAGAGATAACTGAAGAAATGCTGCCTTGTAGATCGTCACCGCTTCAACGTCCAGCTGCCCACTCAAACATTCTCTTCACAAACTTCACTCTGATGAAATTTATTTTTAACAAACACATCTCGACACATTTTATATAAAATTTTCATTGCAAATTTGAAATCATCAAATATCAATAGTTAAAACATAAAATTTTGTGACGTCACAAACGGGGTTCAGCTTCACCTTTCAATCTGCGGTCCTCTGACGCTAGAAATACCCTAAAAAACGTGAATGGACAAAGACTGCCAGCGTCACTGGGCCGAATTTGCAGAGAATCTTTCACGTATCAAGATCACTGTCGATAGGATGGGCCCTCGGAAGTTCTAACTCTTAGAAGAACGGTCATCCTCAGAACAGGGACATACTTTCGGGCCAAAGTAAATCCCAGCCCGGACCATTACACCGCCTGTACAAACCACATTACACCGCAAGACTGTTTTCTCAATGTGAACTACATTGAGTTCATTTTTCTTCATTCAGTCTTGTCCTCCACGTTTTGCACCAGTCTTCGATAAGTTCAAGATGTTTTTGGAGTTGGAGCTTGGATAGGATTCAAGGTAGAGGACAAAATTGCAGTATCGTCCGCGTAGGTGGAGAAGACGGTATTAGGGTGTATAAGTAATAATAAATTATGTAATGGTTTAAGTACTTAAAGTATTTGTAGTAGAGATTAATTAATTTTTAAAAAGTGGCGTACATTCTTTTTAAATTATCATTGAGTGGACTGGTTTCATTTTGTTCAATATTTGGCTTAACTACTGTACACAGATGTTTGTAAAGATACATTTCTCTAGTTTTACCATGAACCTCTCTTGGACAGCTTGACGTAAAGAATTTATATGTTTTAAATGTTCTTCAAATGTTTTTGAAAAAAATTATCTATATAGCAAAAAAAAAATCTGTTGTATTTACGTAATATATTTGTTGTTCTGGTGCATCTTGATTTTGAGGAATTCGCCATTCCTTATGTATGAAAGCTGTATTTTCTGTTTATCCTGTAAATTCAGGTTCAACACCACGCAGACCTCAGGAGGAAATATCACATTAAAAAAAAATAAATTGTTAGTTTAAATATAACTGGGACTTGTAAATGCCATTGTGTACAAATTAGTTAATTAATTATCCAACTCGACGGAATCGTCGGTTATTTTTCCATCCGGAGTCACCTAAAATATAACCGATAATAATATTTTTGTTTTGTTGATCGGTTGAATCACGTTTAGTTTTATTTTATTTTTAACGATTTGTCAACACACAACTTGAATAGCTTTTATTATTTCACAAAAAAAAAAAAAAAAAAAAAAAAAAAAAAAAAAGTTTATAAAAATTAAAAAAAAAAAAAAAAAAAAAAAAAAAATTATCGATGAAATCGTTGCTCACTCGTAGATAATGAGTACACAGGCAATCTCATCTATATCTGGTTTACCTAGATTTTTAATTATCCTTTTCCAGTACATATGATAAAAAGTTACTATTTTTTATCAAACCAATTTTCGAAACACCTATAAAAATTGTCGCGTTCTGTAAACAATTTTTTCCCCTGTTTTCAAATCGTGATTATCAATGATATCTTTTGCTACACGATAAGATTAAAAATGGGAAAAAGAATTTTAATTTCAACGCTTAATTTATTTACAGAGCCCGGTTCGACGTTGGGACGAAATGTACCCATCGTGGAGATTGTCAATCTTCATAGGGTCCCAGGTTTTTGGAGCTCTGTCCGTGTTTTTCGTCTTAAGTACCGTGGTCACTGGTCAAAAGAAGAGCAGGGATATGCAATGGCATTCCGTTCTAATGACACTATCAACCGTCTACTTAATAGGTTCTTGTAAGTTTCGATTAATAATTAATATTATCAAACAGTTTTTCCCCTTCTTAATCAAATTCTCTTAGCTACAAAGTAAATTACAACTTACATCTTAATTTATAAAAATATTGTAAAAAAATTCACTATTCTCTTATCATTCCGGCTTTCAAAAAGTTATGTCACTGTTCGAGACAGACACTGCTGTATTGTAGAATCGTTTGTTTACATTTATAATCCAACCCGATTTTTCTTTTCTAATAAAATTATTTGAAGAATCGTAATGTTACCTTTTAAATTAGACCATCGCTTCGGAACACAAAATTAAAGTGCCTTAATTAACATTTATCATCTCGATCCGTATTGTTTTACTCAACGATGTATCGGTTTTGAAATGTAATTGATAACGAATAATAGCACACACATCGATCGAAAATTGACTTTCATTAAAATTCTTTCTACGCGGATATATTTTTGGATTGGATAAACACATTTTGTGCGTTAGGAACGACCTAAGGAAGTTAAGCACCGTTAGAGTTAGTGACGATTTAGTTTGGTCAGGTAGAGTTAATTTTCGGTTAGAGTTAGAGATGGGTTAGGCTAGATTATAAATGGCTAGGTTAGGTTGGGTCTGGTTTGGTTCGGATTAGTGACAAGCTAGGTAGGGTTAGGTTATGATAGGAATGGCTAGATTAGATAGGGTTAGTGAAGGATTCAGTTAGGTAGAGTTAGATTTAGGGACGGGTTAAGTACTGTGAGTGGTGCGTCGGTGGCCACAAAGGTTTAGGCGTTGACATGGCGCACATCACTGTTAGGTAAACGTCTCGGGTTCGAATTCAGCGGCCTTGCATTCGAACCCGACATACTTTCAAATAGCCTTTTTTTCAAAAAAGTTTCGTCGGGTAGGGTTAGAGTTAGAGAAGGATTAGGTTAGGGTAGAAATGGCTAAGTTAGGTGCGAATGTGTTAACGAGAAGAGCACAAGTGTTGGGTTAGCTTAGGATTAATTTAGGATTAAAGACAGGGACGAGTAGGTTACACTAGGTAGAGCTAAGGCTTATTTCGGGTTAGCGTTAGTAACAGATTAGTTATGTTCTTGTTAAAGTTAATTTAGGATTAGAGTTAGGGATGGGTTAGATTAGGTTAGGAATGGAATGGCTAGGGTAGGTAGGGTTAGAGACAGATTAGTTTAGAATAGAAAGTCTAGGTTAGGTATGTATGTGTTAACTAAGAGAGCACGAATGTTGAGATAGGTTAGGGTTAATTTAGGGATAGAATCAGAGGTGGGTTAGGTTACAATAGGAATGCTTAGGTTAGTTAGGGCTAGAACGAAGGATAGATTTGGTTAGGTCAAGAATAGAAATATTAGATATGGTTAAAGTTAGGAACATGCTAGGCTAGATTAGATTAGGGCTAGAGTTAGGAACTGGTTAGCTTAGGGTAGGTGCGTAGGCGTTACCGGGGAGTGCAAATTAGTTGGGTTGTATACACACATTTTTTTGCGTTATACGGGAGAGTGTATGACTTAGGTTAGGTTGGGTTAGGATTAGAAAGAATAGGTAGGGCTAAAGTGAGGGACAGGTTAGGTTAAGTTGGGTTAGGGTGTTTGAATTGAGTGTTTGGAATCTGACTTTGAAACTATCTCTAGATAGAAAGTGTGAAACTTTGATGGAAAAAATCACTAAGAATAATAAAATATGAATAGCATACAGTTTCACAATTTAATGATACTTTTCTTTAAAAATCAGTGATATTTGTTCGCTTTTCATTATTCACATTATTTCCTTAATCCCCTTCCAATCCTAAAATAAAAAAGAAAACTGTCAAATATATAATAAAAGTAAATTTATATTACTTTTATTTAAAGCAATCTAATTATAAATGTGTTTATATTTATTGTTATAGCGGTTACAATTTATAGAGGACTGCCGTGGCTAAAAATGTTCAAGTTGAAATTATTTCACGGCCTTATCCACCTTGCTGCACTGCTTTTGGCGATTGCCGGGGTCGTTTTGGCGTTTGATTTCCATGACAATATACCACTGTCACATTTGATTAGTCTTCACAGCATTTTTGGACTGATAGCTGTCATTCTGTTAGGCCTTCAGGTCAGTTTTTAAATTATCAAACTATAAAAATTCATTTTATTATCTTATTTTCTGTTTTATTGAATGATTTACTATTTTGCTATATGTACTACTATTATACGAATAAAATAAAATAGGAAAGAAATAATATTGTAGTATTTTATTTTTTAATATTATTTATTTATTTTTTTAAGTGGATAACTGGTCTTCTTTTTTTCCTGCATCCTAAAATCCCGGTTCGTGTTGACAAACATGCTGTTCCTAGTCATGCAACTGCTGGTTTGATCATCTTCCTTCTTGGATGTGCTAATGCACTGATTGGCTTAAATGAATATACTAAAGGGTAATTAAATATGTATACTGTTTCTACTTACTGGTTTAATTCTTTATATTTGAATGATTGATGTTTTCAGGGTATTGTTTATTAAAAACTCTTTATAAATATGGAAAGCTGTATTTGGTGTGAAAATTGGCCAAAATACATACCATTATTTTTCCATTTAGCTTGCGTATTTGACATTATATTCTGTACTCTTGTATTTTCTTTTCAGATAGAATTAAGTAATTTTGGACCAAACACCTCTTGTACCTCCTTATATCCTAAATTTGTATGCATACATTCTTTGACCTTGACTTTTTTTCATTGCAACTTATTTCTAGGGCCTAAATTGATCTAACTGGTTTGATTGTATTAAAATATCTTGTTCGTGTCCTTGGAACATCCTGAGATGGTTTTTGGGCAGAAGCACAATTTTTTTGTGTGTGAGCATCTTTGCATCATCAATTTCACACTACTGAGGAATATGCATGGGTTGGGTTAAGTTAGAAATGGTTAGGTTAGTTAGGGTTAGGGGACGGTTAGGTTTAATGTTAGAGATGAGTTAGTTTATGTATCCATCATTCATTTTTCTATGATTTTACACATAAATTATAGCCATCTGTAAATTAATAGGATTGAACTGTTTTCAGTTGGTATTGAATATACAAATTTTCTTTTTATTTGAAAGGTTTTGGACTTAAACTTTTGTCTAGTGTGTCTGAATTCTACTATTGAATTTTCAGAAAGTATTCAGTTTCTTTAATAATATAACATTCTCCTCAGGAGTATGGTATTGAAGTTTTAATTGTTTCGGAATGATTTTCCTAAGTATCATAACCTTTTCCTTGCTCTTGCCAGGTACAGTGTAGACGAGTGAAGCTAGGGTTAGGGGAATAGCTTTTCTAGCTACCACCTTTTTTTTGTTAGAAAGTTTAAGTTAGAAAGGTTAAGTTAGGTAGGGTTAGGGGAATGGCTTTCCTAGGTTCCAAAGCCTTTTTCTTGTTATTGCAGGGCAGTTTGCTGTGCTCTTTCTTCCTCATGCAGTTTAAAAGTAACTAGGTATGGTATCGAGGTCTGTATTTCCCAGGTACCATAGCCTTTTTCTATTGTAAGGCAGTTTTATATGATGTGCTCTGTTTTCCTTACATGGTTTAAAAGAGAAGGCTAGGGCATCCACAGCTATTGATTTTTATTTTTCCTCATGAAGTTTAAAAGGAAAGGTTAGGTCTGATCATGATTATGATATCAAGGTCTATATTGCATAAGAACAATTGCTTTCTTTAGTAACACAGCATTTTCTTAGCTATTGCCGGGCAATTGCTTAAGATGTTTTCTGTTGTCTCATTCTCTTCTCAGGGGTTTAGTTGCAAGGTTTTCATTGCTCAAGAAGCAATTGCAAAGCATATGCTCTGTTTTGTTCATATAGTCTAAAAGAGAACGTTAGGGCACCTCAGGTGTATGGTATCAATGTCTACATAGCTAGTGGTAGGTTAGAGTTAAGGGGATGGCTTTCCTAAGTGCTACCGACTTTTCCTTGCTAATGCAGGGCAGTTTTATAGGATGTACTCTTTTTCCTTGTGTAGTATGAAAGGGAAGGCTAGGGCTTCTCTAGGGTGTAGCTTTGAGGAATCCATTGCTCAAGAATGGCTTTTCTAGGTTCCATAGCCTTTTGCATGCTATTGCTGGGAATAGCAAAGTGTTAGGTTAAAATATTTAGGGTAGGTAGGGTAGGGGAATGGCTATTTTAGGTTCCATAGCCTTTTTCTAGCTTTTTTTTTAAGCTTCCATAGCCTTTAAGGTCAGTTTTATAGAGTGTGCTATTTTTTCCTCACCGTTTAAATGGGAAATTTAGGACTACTCAGGGGTTTAGTTTTGAGGTCTCCATTGCTCAAGAAAGACTTTCCTAGATTCCATAGCCTTTTCCATGATATTGCTGAGAATAACGTGCATAGGTTGTGATAGGTTAGGTTAGGGTTAGGGGATTGGCTTTCCTAGGTTCCATAGCCTTTTCCTTGCAATTACAAAGCATTTGCAAAGAATGTAAGCACAGTCGACAAAAAATAATGAACTTTGATGATTAAATACATGAATTTAATGTATTAATAGTGTGTTTCTTCTTCTCCTAATTATAGAGCTGAAAGGACAGACAAAGTGATGCTTGCCACTGCATCAGGATTTTTCATTTTTATTTTTATGCTTCTTGTACTACACTTGATAATGAAGGACACATTTAAAAGAGAACCTCTATCAGATGATAAATGATTTGGAGAAACTTCTGCCTATTGTTTTCTTCTAATTGTATTTTTATAAAAAGGATTTGTTTTATAATTTTACATTTTTTCCTTTTAAGTAAGCATTTTATAAATTATTATCATCTTCCTATATTGAGGAAGAAATATCCAAATATTTTGTATAATTTGTAATGAAAAAATGTAAAAATAGCACTGAAGGGAGAGGAATATACTATATATATAAATTATTATGATTGTTACACATGTTTAAAAATCCTCTTTCCATGAATTTTTGTACAAATGCATGTTAAATATTGCACAAAAGGTTTTTTTAATATTAACTGTAAAAAAAGTATACACCATGAAGAAAGAATGTATAAACTTATTGTCATTATTGTTTATTTACGTTTTAGTGTCAATTGACCAAGTTACTTCATTCAATTAATTATTCTTTTTATCTCAACCAAGACCTTACATAAAAAGAATAATTAATTATTGTTTATGTAAATTTTAGATATTTGTTGATTTTTGTTTTGTATTTATATAGCGACTTATATGTACAAACCTGATATTATGTTTTAAATGTACGAAAATTTGTATTTTGTTTATTTTAATAATACTGAATGACATTAAATGATAACTAAATTTATTGGCTATCATTAAGTCCACAGGGTCTCTCCCGTATATCCGTTTCAAAATGGGTGAGAACAATAAAGGAAACTAGAAGTCTAGATGTTCTAAAAGCACACCTGGCATGATGTAACTAGGACAGTCAAAAGGCATCGACGGAAAATCTGGGATATATGAGGCTTTAAGGACATGGTCTGATCAATTGCAAGGTTCTTGACATACAGAAGGAAATTGAGTGAGTGTTAATTGTAAATGGAATGGATCCAAACTCCTTGAATGGATTGTGTTAGGTTAGGTTGAGTTAGGGAAATGGCTTTCCTAGGTGCCATAACCTTTTACTTGCTATTGCTAAGTATAGTGTGGATGGGTTGTGTTAGGTTTGGTTATGGTTAGGGGTATGGTTTTCCTAAATACATAGCCTTTTCCTAGGTTGAGTTAGGTTATAACCTTCCAGGACAAGAACACAACATTTGGGTTTTTTTACATTCAAGTGTTGTGCCCATTTTCAACTGCCCAAGTTGTAATTGAGTTTAAGTACTAAATTCTAGTACTTTATGATTACTTAACTTTTGGTGCATCACCATCATCAATAATATTTTTCTCAGTTTTCTTATAATGATTCTCAGATCATTCTTATGTTCTCGTTTCAGATTTTCATTATTTATTACACCTTTGATTAATCATATAGAATTTTTAAATTTTTCATAATGTCATGTAGCCATGTATGTATACTTGATGTTGGAGGGTTATTAGGTTAGCCTAGCCTTGTTAAACAGCCGCCACGTGGTCAGACACAAAACTAATTATAAGGTTATGTAAGATTGGGTTAGGGTTAGGGGAATGGCTTTCCTAAGTTCCATAGCTTTTTCTTGGGTCATCCAGGACAAAAACACTATAACTGGGTTCGTTTTTTAGATTCAAGTTACACCCATTTTCAGTGCCTCAGGTACTAATTCACTTTAAGTCCTATATTCTTTTTATATTTTTATTTTTATTTTATTTTATTGCCAAGCTTTTGGTGCATTGTCACATCAGGGCTATACAAACTTTAACATCATTAAACGAAAACTGGAATTCAAATTTGGTCAATATAAAATAACAGGTGACATGTTTCAAAAGGGTTAAACAGAATACTCAGACCACCTTTATCATTTCTACAGATATCTTATAATGTCAAAGTATTTAAAACTTAATGGAGATGATGTCATGTACCATTCTTAGGAAATAAAATAAGCTAATGAAATATTAAAGCCAAAATGAATCATCACTGAGATATCCACATTAGTAATAAATAATAAATTAAACGCAATAGAAACGGAAGGTACTATATTACTAACTGTAAACATGATAAATTACCAAAACTAATGAATTAAAGATAAGCTATCTTTTTCCAAGAGATATCTTGGACATCATATACACATCATATAAAACTACCTTACAAGAAAAAGACTATAGTACATGGAAAAATGTTCCTTGAGCTATATAGACCTTAATACCATATCTATAAGATGCCCTTGCCTTCTCTTTTAAACCATGTGAGTTCAGCAGAACACATCATATACTGTCTATTTCACANGTGAGTAAAGCAGAACACATCATATACTGCCTCACAAGAGTCAGAAAAAGACTATAGTACCTGGGAAAACTGTTTCTTGACCAATATAAACTTTGATACTATGTCCATGAGATGCCTTAGCCTTCTCTTTTAAACCATGTAAGTAAAGCAGAGCACATCATATAAAACTGTCTTACAACAGGTAGGAAATGGTTGTGGTATCTGGGAAAACTATCGCTATATAGAACTTGATACCGTACCCCTGAAAAGATTTCTGTACTTCATTAAAGAAACGTAAATCTTTCAGGAAATCCTTTAACAAAGTATGGCACAATTGGTGAAAATAAAATGACAGAAAAAATTGAATAGTGGAGTTTTGGATATTTCGTGATTGTTAGTGAAGAATTCTGGTTGGTTCATGTTGGTTTGTAAAAATAAAGCGTTTTAACAATTTGACGAAAAAAATTGTTTTTAAGTTAATCCCAAAAGCTGAAAATAGCAGTCCGTTTCCTCTGAAATCTGATTAATCTACTGGCATAAATGCAAAAGTGCTTGATTATTATTTGATTATTATTATGATTATTATTTTTAATTTAAATTGAAATTAGCAGCAGAGTATATTGTTGAATTTTGGTGTTTTTTTTTTCATTTTCATTCCGAGGGCCCACGGCCTTGAGAACCGTGACTCGGCTGGAGGTTAGAACCCGAACGTGAGAGTGACTCGTGAGAGTGTGAGACCGTTCCAGTCGCCCAAACAACCCTGAGCCGATATCGACCTCCGACACCGACGACGAAATGGCCGAAAAGTACTCCAATTTCATGCAGACGGTCGACAAGTATCTGTACGATGAGAAGTCCCCTTTTAAGCCCCTTTTCGACTTCATCGAGGGGAAAACAGGCGTCAAACGGTTCTATCTCTTCATAAGTGAGTATCTCGACAAAAAGACTGCATTTTCCGACTTGAACAATCCAACAGCTTTTCTCCTCGATCACACCGTTTTTTTTCTTCTTTCTATTCTTTAAATACAAATTTTCAACACTCCTAACTGATAAACACTTTTGAAATAATTAAATCGTAAAAAAATGTATCCGGGACTTATTTTCCTGTTTCGACGATTTCCGACCATTAAACGAGAGTATTTACGTATCCGTTCTCTCACCTTGCCAAAAGGTAAAGGACCAAGCTAAAATCCCAAATTGTGTCTAGGCTCTTTTCTATAATTAGTTAATTGTTTCTCCCCCCCTGGTTGTGATACGATTTTTCCTCCTTGTTTCTTTCTTTGATTGGGATTTACACGATTGGACTTGCCGCAGATATGGATTTTATGGTCAAGCACCGCAAAGTCACGCTGTATGGTAATTATTCCCTTTACGCTGCACGGTGGATAACACCTGATCGGAATGGACCGGATTACACCCTTGTGAAAATGTTTTATAACGACTGATATTTTTCTAGAGCATAAGTGTTTTTTTTAAGCCTGTTGGTCGAGAATTGTCATTGTCCTTGAATAAACACACAATCATTAAGTATAATACCAGGTTACAGATTTTTCCTGGTTTTTAAACTTATATTTAATATATTTCATACATGCTTGTTTTTAAGATTAGTCTAGTATTTTAATTTGCAATTTTATTAATTGTGGATCATGATTCTGGTGTTGGTGAGAATGGATTTCTGGATACCTGCTTGCAACCTTGAGTCATTACGACAAAACTACTTAAATCCAGCAGAAATCTTTTGCCTGAATAAGTCAGTTTCTTGAAGCCTGTCTTCACTGGATTAAATGTCTGTGAGGTTTTGATGTTGGATGAAACTGGATGAGACATTGATGAGATTTTGACGGTACCTGTATGGCCACATATCACTGCCTCCCTCTCACAACAGTAATGAATGTGTGGCCGATTAATTTGCAAATATTTCTCCGACTGTTTGAGAATGGCCATCGTCCTTGAATTAACATTGATTTATTAATTATAGATTATGTTACAATTTTTTCATGTTTTTTACTTTTTTAAACTTACAATTACTATGTCCATGGCCAAAAAATGTTTTTTTTTTCTTTTTCTTGTGGAATTTGTTTTTTTCTCCTGACTTGCAAGTCGATAAGGGTGAAACTGGACGAGACATCGAGGTACCCGTATGGCCATATCACTGCCATCCTGTCATGACAGTCATGAATATTAGGCCGATTGATTTGTTTATATTTTTCCGAAATATCAATGTCCTTGAATTAACATACATTCATTAAGAAAATACCAGGTTACCAGTTGTTCCTGATTTTTAAACTTATATTTACTATATTTCAAACATGTTTGTTTTCATGATCTGCAAGTGCCATACTCATATTTTTTTTTCCCTTAGATTAAACTAAAAACTTCTAGATAATTATTACAATTAATGGTACAGGTGAGATTCGGAGTCGGTGAGATTTTGAACGCATTTCACATTCAGCGTAAATTTCACTTACCCGCTTCTAACATTGAGTCACATCAACACAACTAAAACAAACCACAAAGCTGAAATCTTTTGGCCTGAATGAATCAGTGTTTCTTGAATGTCTGTCTTCACCGGATGAAAAGTCCGTGAGATTTTGAACTGTTGGATGAAACAGGATGAGGCATGAGATTTTGAAGGTATCCATTTCGCCTTCCTCTCATGACAGTAATGAATTAACTTTTGATTTGACAAACATGTCAGGTTGAGAATGATCAATGTCCAGTTCCAAGGTTTAGGTCATAACAAAACTAAATGTAATCCATGATGCTGTAATCTTTTGGCCTAAATTTTTGTCATTCTTGTCCACAAAAATTACCTTGGTTTTGGCTGTCATCTTATACAGTATTTAACCGAAACACACTTTTTTTATACATTCTTTCTTATAAATTGTCTTCTTCCCTTGGAGAATTTGAGTTACGTTATAGTTGCTGCCTTTTCCTTTTTTACTCTCTTCCATTGTATAGTTTATTTCATAATGTGCTTTTATTGTTTTATTTCTTTTATTGCTTGACAATGAATCACTTGTCGATAATTATTTAGCTTTGTTGTGGTCGAAAATGATTTTTTGAGGAATGACACTTCTCACAGTATGCCATATGAATCACATGTTCAAGTGTTGTTGGCATTCTGGAGTAAAATGTTTTTACTTATTCTCCTTTTGAATTTGATTTAAAGTTGAACTTTTCATAAGCGGGCACCACTGGTGGAGAGGGGGTGCTCGTCTTTCTCGCACAGCCACCCCTCCGTTTCAACAATGCCGGTCACCGTCGCTGGAGAAAAAGGGGGAAAAGGAAAGTGATAAAGAATATAGAAACGAAATGATGTAAATTTAAAGATTAGGAAAAATTATGAATTTATTGAAGAAATGATCTTGACAAGAAACAAGCAACAAAGAGAAAAGGGAAATTGAATTGGAGAAACTCTCCCTGTACAATACAAAAGAAAATTTGTAAAGAAATTCATGTTCTTTAGCATGCAAACAAATATATATATGTATATATATATACCTGCAGGTTAAAGTTAATTTAAAATGGTGATTCCTTTTATGAAATAAATCAAATTACAATATATTTCCTAGAAAATCAAATCCGAGTTAAATATGAATCCACCTGGGTATGATGAAATTTCCACAAGGTAGGTGATGAATCCACCTGGGTACGACGAAATTTCCATGACGTAGGCGAAATGTCCTTTTTGGCCGGATTTTCAGGACTCAGACTGGAACGACTCATGACGATATACTGACGAGACGGTTGTGCTGGTCCTCAACCACCATCTTCTACGAGAACTGAAGGGGCGCACGATGAACGAAGGCTGATGATTAAACTAGGTCTCCAAAAGAGTCTGTCAGCCGTTTTCGGTAGAGAAAATCCGCCACCACGATCTCGTTGATGTTGATGATGATAACGACAATTGATGGATCGCTTTGTGTGAGGGTTGAAAATCCCCAGTCGACAAATTCCAGAGAGATGACCGTCTTCAAACATAAACGATCGTGGACTGAGCCAGCGGCAGCCCTTTGATCTTCAGGGCCGGTACCCCTCCCCTGGGTAAAAACAATAGCATAGAGAGACTTTCTCCAATGCTTGTTGCAAAAAACATTAAAACTAAATTATGGATCCTATCTTCTGTTACTTCAAAGATTTTCCCAATTAAAAAAAAAAATAAGATCACAAAGCAAAAANATTAATAAAAAGGATTAAAATTAATAGGGAAGGAAAACGAAAACAGTGACAACAACTAGGAATGGGATTTTGCCTACTGACTGTGATCCTTTCTCTAATAGAAGGAATTTGTTTCTCACGTTTTTATCTGAATTTTTTTTGTCACAATTACAATGTTATAACTGCTCAGGAAATGATGGAAAGGAGGAGGAAAGACTCACTTAAAAAAAAAAAAAAATTGGAACCTTCCGACAAGCGGATGAAATCTCATTCTTGAGTGTTGTCTGCTTATAAGACGTTTGACTGTAATTCATACAGTTTAATTTTTTCATTTTCTTAGTTGTAAATTGCTTATTTAATAAAAATAAGACTAATTGTTTTATCTTATTGTTTTCAGTATTCGTTTCTTTTGTCGCTTTATACCTTGCATTCGGGTATGCAGCACAGTTGCTCTGCAATGTCATCGGCTTCCTTTATCCAGCGTACGCTTCAATGAAAGCGATTGAAACTCCACAAAAGGGCGACGATACGAAGTGGTTAACTTACTGGACCGTTTTTGCTTTGTTCTCCATTTTAGAATTTCCTTCTGATGTCTTGCTCAGTTGGTTTCCATTTTATTGGCTATTGAAGGTAATATTAATAATATTTTTGTCTTTAATCCTTTTTGAATTATAATTTTGGTATTTATTTATTTTTTTTTTTTTCAGTGCATTTTTATGATTTGGCTTTTCTTACCAATTAGCGCCAATGGTTCCATTATTTTGTACAACAATGTAATTAGGCCTTACTTTCTGAAGCACAGCCAAAAAATTGATGGCGTGTTCTCTAATCTTACAGATTCAGGTAATGTACAGTTTTTTCGTTGATGTTATGATAACCTTAATAATTGTATATAAAAAATCAGGTATAAAGGTGAATTTGAAAGAAACGCAAACAACCAGTTCCTTCATCAACCTTCCGAGGAATATATTCTCCCCTTTATCAGGACTATAAATCTATTTCCATTGATTTATAGGGTTAACAAATATAAACATCTATTTACAATAATAAAAATTATGGCTTTAACTATAATGAATTTATGAGTTTGGGATTACAACGGGATGCTAGTGGGATCACCAATTTTAGTGAAACTTTTAGGTGAGCCAGGAGCCAAAAATAAGTAATATCATTCATTTTATTTTTAAACTTGGATAAGAAAATAATAAAGCACAAGTATTAAATTATATGAAAAGTTACAAAAACGTTAAGATGCTTTCAGTAAAGTAGGCCCCAAAAAAAAAAAAAGGATATGTTCTTAGCACTCTTTATATCCCTTAAATACGAATTTTTATAGAAAACAAAAACGTTTTTGTTCTAGATATGCCAGGGGCAATTTTTTTCTTTGATGTATTGTGTTTCTCATAAAAATTGATAACTCCTGCGCATTTTATTAAATTTCAATGATATTAATCTGGTAGAAAGCTGAATTTCTCTACTTTCAGATTAAATCAACAATGTTTAGATTTTATTTGCTTATAAGTGAGTAAAATAAGGATGAAAGCGGCCAAAAACACCTCTTAGGTTTTAGTTTTTTCTCTAGTTCTAATTTATTTGTGGAAGCCAAGTTTGTTCCATTACATGTTGTTTTCAGTGTTCTGAATCTGTCTAAAGATTTCTTGTAGATTCGTGGAATCTTTTCAATTGCTATTTTGTGATCATCGCACACAAATTGGAGTGATTTATGTTGTGAAAATTTTGAGAAAAAAATTGATTTTCAGATTTTCCCCCAAAAAATGTATCCAGGGTTTTTTTAGGGGAGCAAAACTCATGTACATGTACAACAAAACTCAAGTTCATAACCTATATGAACTTTGTTTCATGTTAAAAATATAAATATATTTGTATATTTTAACTAACTTTACTGAGTAACCCAGGTATCATAGATGTTTTGAATGTTTTGAAAAAATCCGTTAATAACAAATTGTTGGCTAAATCAATTAATGAATTTTTTCTTTTCAAATTTTTGCCTTCTAAATTCTTTCAAAGATCACAAAAATAACAGTAATAACTTTAAATTCACTAATTTCGTGGTCCGCTTGACCAATTAATATATTACAGTTAATTAAGGTTTTCAGTTGAGATAAAATAGTCAATGGCACGAGCGGGATTCGAACCCACGATCTTCGGCTTGATACGCCGCTGCTCTACCACTTGAGCTATCGTGACCTCGNTTTTAAAAAAAAAAAATTGTAAGTACGTTGGGTTCGAATCCAGGATTTAACCTTTGCGACCACCAACGCCTCTGATTTTTCATTATGTTGTATTCATTCTGATTCATTATGTTTGAAGCCATAATTTTTTAAATTGTAGGTAGAAGAAATTATTAGAATTAGTTCCAAAGTATATTTTCCTCAAAAGCTTGAAGGAACTTAATTTTTATATACAATTAGTTTTCCAAATTTTTCATTTGCTATTATTCCAATTTTTTGGTCAATATGTAAAAATACTTTTTTATTTTTAGCAACTGGTGTTCTCGCTGAAGCAGTATTAAAAGCACAAAAATCTGAATAACTATGCACATTGCAGTTACCATGTAAGCATTTTTTCAGTGATATGTTTACTAATTGTTTTGATAATATGAATTTAATTTAATGTCTGTTTGTCGTATCTTTTTTTCATTACATTTTGTAATGGTCTGTGTTTATTCCTTATTTAGAATATTTTTATTAGTTTAGACATCTTTGGGTCTTTTTTCCTCCTCTGGCCAGTGTGTCTGCTTTTCGTTACCCATAATTCCTTTGTGCCCTGGTTCACCCAAGATTCATCAGTTTGTTGTTTCCCCTGGTTTTGGAGATTTTGGATGCATTCACTAATTTTGATGTGATTTTTTTACATGCTGCTTGGCTATCAGATTTTATGAGGATTTTTTTGCCAGTGTAGATTTTCTAGGGTGCAAGCATTGATGGCATGTACTTCTGCTGGAAAGAACGAAGTATACTTCCCTAATGTGTTTGATTGCTCATATTTTGGGCTTGTTCAAAACACCTGATCCGGTTCCTTCATTTGTTTTGGAGATCATTGTATCTGATGCTCTCCTGAGTTCTTCCTCTACTTTATAGTCTGTTGAGACTTTATTGGATGTTGTAAAGAATGTTTTTTTCATGTTTATGTCACTAACCTCACTGTTCACAATGACTCAAACCAGTAAACAGTTTGGTGACACTGTTAAGATTCCCACTTCATGGACAGCAGTCTTGCAGATGAGAATATCTGAACTACAGGCGCAAGTTCCAAGGTCATAGCTTGCTAATGGGTTTGGATTCCTAGTGGTACAGGATGAGACCCCTGTAGGGTAGACTAACGATACCGATATGGCCTTCAGGCTAGGCGTCCTTTAAAAAATAACCTTTTCAGGACACCAAGTAAGACAGGGAATGAATGACCACAATGACTTTAACATTCCTTTTATCAATGAGCTGATCGGATCTCACTTTAAAAAATTCCGCATCAAGTTTTCAATCCATCTTAACCATTCAGCCAAAGCTTTCTATACACTTTCCCATATTGAGAAACCGCTGAGTCGCCAATAATGACAAGATCTCGCCATTTAATCCCTCGTATTGATTTTTTTTTGTACTCTGGTTTCTTTTAACTTGTGTCTTCCAGGTTCAGTGCTGTGAAACAAAAATAATGAATGCATCTTTTTGAGTTTGATTGTCTCTAAAAACTCATCTTGCCAGACAAACTAGTAAGGAAGGACAGACCAAGTAGACGATCAAGCTATGTTTATTTTGCATTTGAATGTACGAGTTGTTTTGGTTATATTGGAAACTTTGCAGCCTACCTATGTAAACAGTTTACTGTCCATCCTGACTTGTCTGATGACTGTTCTGATGCTAAAGGTCAAAGAAGAACTAGACTTTTCTCTTTCTCTTTTCCTTCCTCTAGAACCTTCACACCTAACTGATGTAATCAGCATCTTCCTTCTAAAAAATACTTTTCCTAACTTAAATTTTTCACACTGTACCCCATACCACTTTCCTACTTCTTGGAAACTCTCATCAAACTAATTTCTAAACTCACAATCACACACCACCTTCACACCACTAAAAACACTTCATAACAAAAAACGAAAATGTTCAGAAGAACAAAACATCGCAACCAACACCAGGAAAAAACCAAAAACCAACAACGCACAAATAATAACTGACCATGGAAATAACCGCCACCAAGACCGACCAACGAGCGCGGAGACCATGCCCCTTAATGCAACGCCCCCAGCGACAAGCGATGGACGCAATAATATATAAACCCTACTCAGACTACATGATAGACAGTTTTTCACTGAAGATGGCGTAATGCTGAAACGCGTTTGAATAACTCAAACAAAAAAACCCGCGAGTGAAGACAGACCTAGTAGTGCCCGTGTGCTAGTTCAACTTAAAATGATATTACTTGCTAAACATCTTGACCTGCTATCTAAACTGCCATTGATTAACAAGATGACTAGTGAGCTCTAACAGTAGGTCATAATAGATATTTTTAGGTTGAGGTACTAGATTGTAGCCACCTCTTATATCACTATCCTTATCCTACAAACATATGGAATGTTACCTGGGGCTATTTCCGAACAGGCAATTGATATAAATGTATTAGTTGGAGTTACAGCCCTACTTGGGCCTCCTCAAGAATCAAAAGCTTTTCTGTCCACCTCTTTTTCCAAGGTTCCATGTCGTCCAGCTACTTCTTTTGTCATGTCTGGCCTTACCTCGTCAGTTGGCATAGCCGTCTTAGCACTGAATTTTCACAGATTCTTCAAATTCCATTATCTTATATCGGGCTGAATATCTTTTTTACCCATAAAGACAGGTTTAGTAGGCAAAGACTGCTGCCTGAGTTAACGGAACTCCCACGCCTCAAAAGACAGCAACTAGAAATCTAAACTGTCATTGAATAACAAACGACTCAAATTCGGACTTACATATCTAAACAACAAGGTTCAATTAAACGCTCCAAAGTAGAATCCAGACCCAATAATCCAATATCCTTTGAAAAATTACAAATAGAAATAAGTTTCTAGATTCTGAATTAATATTAGATTAATAAAAAATTGAAATGACCAATTAAAGAAGAATGTAATAAGGTTGTTTGTAGTCATTGTTATCTTGTAGGTTATTAACTTGTAAAAGAAAATAATAACTTGTTAATTTTATTTGCAGATAACTTCACCAAACCTCACCATTTCCAAGTTGTTAGCCGTTGTTGAAATTATTAGTGGTTTATATTGCTTCAGTATTTGAACAAACTTGTATTTTTATATGTGTTACAATGCCAATACAAATTACCTTTTTCTATATGGTTTTCCTATATTTTTTTTTAAAGATCGATGCTTTTCTCCTCCTTTCCCTTAAAGGATATTTTAACACGGTATGTTATTACTCTGGGAAGAAGCCAGGACATGGAATTGTAGCGCTAGAGATGATGATGTTTTTCCTCTGGGCTAAGGGGCGAATTGTCATTCAACAAAACTGTTCCAAACAGTCCTTGTAGCTTCTGTGAATTTTTTCTTTTTTCCCTGGTTGGTAAATAAATTTCAAATGGTCCTTTTTTTAATCTTTAAATTAATTTATTTATGTTTTACAAAAAGAAAGATTCTAACAATAAATGAAAAAAAAAAATAGCCATCTAATACAAAACTTTTTAAAACTAAACATATATACACAATAAATCACAAATGATAACACAATGCCTTAGCAAAAATATAATTTAAAACCAATTCCTTCTTGAAAGTATAAAATTGTAAATTGTTCAACGCTATCAGAGAAAGTGAGAGTTTATAAATCTTAAGTTATAAAAAAAAATTGTTGTTTGGAAGATCTATGTTGACTGTGTCCATGTCCGTGGGCTCTTCAGCACATGAAGTTAAATGTCTTTGATGGTAAGCAGTGCGGTTTAAATTGAATTCATCATAGTTTTGATCGAAATATTGATTGAACTTCATTTTATTGATCCTTTCTGATTCCTAAATCTAAACAACAAAAAAAGAAAAGTGTTGCCAGTTAATTTTTGAAAACAGTAATCATTTAGACTCTTATTAATTATAGTGGAGTTAAAATTTGGAGCAATGAATATCTGTTTTTAATATTGGTGGTTTGCTATGAGTTGCATAAAAAAATGTTGATGTAAGAGAAAATACTATACTTAAAAAAGACGACGTGAAAGGGGCCTAACTATGAGCACAGCGTGGCCCTCATGCAGAAACGTGTACATGAAATAAATAACAAACATCTCAAATGTACAACAATATTAATCATCCAGGCAGGTTTAATGCTCTCCAAGTCTAAGGGATCAACTCAAATTGGGACTGCCCCTGAGTACCCAAAATACTGGGATCTATAAACAGCCCAATGCTAAAGTATATCAAGGTTATGAGGGAATTTCAGGCGAAGCAGCAGATATACTAGCTAAAAAGGCAAAGCTAGGAAAAGGCTATGGTATCTAAAAATGTGCCTTGAGCAATACAGACCTCAATACCTTACCCTTGGGAAACAATATCCTCTATCACATAAACCATATGAGGAAAAGAGAGCACATTCTGTGCAATTCTCTCTTTCAATAGTTATAAAAGGGTTAAGGCATCTAGGAAAGCTATTCTTGAGCAATTGGGTGCTCAGGGGGAACTCCTCCAGTTCCTGGTGTCCATTGGGGGAAAAAAAAACTTATTACAGGTAGGAAAAGGAAAACTTCCTTGAGCTATAACCTCGATACCATACCCCTGAGATGCCCTACCTGATCTTTGAAACTATTTGAGGAAAACAACAGAGCCTGTCATAAAATTGTCTTACTACTACTAAAAAAGGCTATGGCACCTGGGAAATCTAGTTCTGGAGCTATATAAACCTCTGAAGATGCCCCCCTCTCTCTCTCACTCTATCTTTTTTTCTTTTTTATTTACGAGGGTTTGCAACAGCAGAGGTTATATAAACCCTCGGGGTGCCGGTGTTTTTGAAAAATAGCCCAACCTTTCTCTTTAAACTAAATAAGTAAAATAGAACATACCATTTGCAACTTTCTTGCAATATGTATAAAAAGACTATGTCATCTAGGAATGACATCCTTGAGCAATGAAGACTTTGATACCATATCCATAAGATAATATAGCCTTGTCTTTTAAGCCATATGAGTAAAACAAAGCACATATAAAACTGCCTTACAACAGCTAGAAAAAGGCTATGTTATCTGGGAAAACTGTTCCTTGAACTATATGACCTTGAATGGTGTACCCATGTGCTGCCTTAACCATCCTACTTAAACTATATAAGGAAAAAAGGGTCTACTTCACATCTATAACTACTCACTCCAAAACTCTGTTTTTCCGACAGCTTGGCAAAAAGCTCTTGTCCACCCTGTCAATTAAACCCCCAACCCATCCTCCCCTACAGACTACCATCCCATTTCCATCCTCTCAAACCTGTCCAAGCCCCTAGAAAGATTAGTCCAAGCACAAGTCTCCAGGCACCTTGAACAGTCCCATCTTCTCAACCCCCTCCAATCTGGTTTCCGCCAAGGTTATTCCACCCAATCAGCACTAATAAAAATTACCAGTGACCTCCACTTAGCAATGGACCAACTGAAAGTTACTATACTTGTCCTTCTTGATTTTTCTAAAGCCTTTGATTCTGTCCCTCACTCTTCTCTCCTCTCTAAACTCGAATCTTTTTCCTTCTCCGCCAGCACCATCCGTTGGTTCCACTCCTACCTTACCAATCGCCACCAAGCTGTCTCCCTTCCCAATGGCCTTACCTCCTCCTTCCTCCCTCTAAAATCTGGGGTGCCCCAAGGATCTAGCATCTCTCCTATCCTTTTTTCCATTTATATCAATGATCTGCCCGACTGCATCCAGTCATGTAACTATCACCTATATGCCGATGACTCCCAAATATATAATCCTTCCACCCTTCCGATCTTCACTCGGCCACTCTCAAGATCCAAAAAGACCTAAACTCCATCAACGAATGGGCCCATAAAAATTCCCTAGTCCTCAATCCGTCCAAATCCACCGCCATAATTATCGGGTCCAGGCAACTCCTCAATTCCCTCCCCAGCATCCCACCTCTCATGCTAAATAACCATCCCATCCCCTTCTGCTCTTCGGTTAAAAACCTAGGAGTAGTCTTTGACCAAAACCTTTCCTGGCATTCTCACATTTCCCAAATTTCCCGCCATTCCATTGCCTCCCTCAGCCTGTTTCGTCGGTCCTGGCTTCTCTTACCTTTCTCCACCCGCAAACTCCTTGTATCTTCCCTTATACTTCCCTTCTTCGATTATAGCTGTTTGGCATACGGTGGTCTCTCGGAGGGGGAGAACGCGCGATTGAAGCGTATTATGAATTGTTGCGTAAGATTTGTGTACGGCACCCCACGGGGATCCCGGGTGTCGGGGTTGTATTCCCAACTTTCCTGGCTATTCCCCTCCTTCCGTGCACAGTATTTCCTAGGTTGCTTTCTTTTCCAGTCCGTCCACACTCGTCGTCCTCCTTACATCATCCAATCCCTCCAATTCAACTCCTCACATCTCGCTCGTAAGACCCTCTCATCCCCAATCGACCTTATCCTTCCGCAACATTCAACCCATACCTTCGAAAGATCCTTTCTGATCCGAGCCCCTAAACTCTGGAACTCCCTTCCCCTTTCTATTCGTTACGCTGTCTCCTTTTCCTCCTTTAAATCCCACCTGTATAATCACCTCTCCCTCCTCAAGTAGACCTTGATATCATACTCTGGAGATGCCCTAACATCCTTTTTTAAACTATGAGGAAAACACCACAATCTCTACAACTGCCCTATGACAGGTCGGAAACAGCTGTGATACTTAAGAAAGCCATTCTTGAGCAATGTTGGCCTCGATAACATACCCCTGAGAAACACTAACCTTACTTTTTAAATTATATGAAGAAATGTGTGGTCTGGACCGCATCTTACGGTCTCCAAATAATTATATGAAGAAAAGAGAGAATATCATGCATAACTGCCCTAAATAGCTAAATGCTACTATGGTACCAACACGACAATGTATCATGGAAATTCCAGGACTATGAAACTCCTGGAATTTTAATTTGCATATCATAGCGAACCACCCTAGGTACTTTGAAATAATAGAATCAGAAAGTCTACCTTTATCATTAATTGTGGGCAGAAACAAATTTAGTGATAGTGGTTTTTCTTGGTTTTTCTTTTTTAACCTAATCACATGATTAAATAATTAATTTTTTAAATTGTAAGTCTAATTAAAACCAATGTTTTTAGCTGGTTAGCAGTAGTTGGTTTTATGAAATTTCACCCACAAATCATAAAACTCCAACTCAAAAATAAAAAAAAATTATGTAACAAACTCATGGGCTTTAGCAGAAGGAACTCATCGTTTTGATACTCTACAATAACTAACAAACCTTACGGGGCATTTTGGAGTTCTTGACTTTTGATTTCTGCTTTTTCAGGCCGAGCTGAAAATAAATGGAGCATTAAAAAATCGACACCCTCTTAACAATAATTTGTAGAGATTAAAAAGTGAATAAATATAATAAAGTGAATTACGTACTTGGGCATGCTCCAGGGGTGAAAGATATATCATCGACAGCAAAACCACCATTCGTCGCCTGACCTTCAAGCACTATGTGAAAGTCTGTGCTAGAGTCAACTGTGACCTGCGCCGGCAACCATAAAGGCCTTGTTGTGTCCATGTTCTTCACTTCTAACGACCATATCTAAAATATTTGCCTCGTCAGTTTTGTAAATATGTGTGATATGAAAAACTTACTTTTTCAACGTCTTGACTGTTCGAAGATCCGTTGTCTTGACGTATCACTTGCATCAAAGCAGAATCGCCTGCCCCAAAAGCTGCGTACCAAAATGACAGGCATAATTGCTGTTCCTCACCACCGGCTATTGCTGGGGAAACCAATCTAACCATGTTGCTTCCCAAAATTTGGTTGAACAGATCATAGTAAATGTAGCCATCTAAAATATAAGGGTTACATTTAATATAAGTTAGAATAAATAATTGTTAATATGAAACAAGAGTTTTAAAAACATTTTGTTCTTATTTTTGTATGTTAGGCTGTAAATCAGACAGTCTACACAGTAGGAAACAAAGGAATGTTTCCAAAACCCTAGAAGTTGTGTAAATGCAACAAGCTACAATACATAACAATAAAGATGAGTTATTTATTGAGGGCAATTTTTTGAACTTTGCAGACAGCTCATCGAATTAGGGACAACTGGATGGGCTCTTTTTGTGTTCCTACACCACAGGGCCAATGACAAGAGACTACGGTCCTGGGGCTGCCTAATGAAAGCTTGTATGAATTATGGGGTTTTGCATGCACTGCCAGGGATAAAGGATCTTCGCAAGAATGGTGTTGACTGTAAGGTCTCAACAATTTGCTTTTACTTCTCTCCACCATTGTTTTGTGAACCAATATCAAAGGCGAGGATTGGAAAGCAAATCAGTGTAGAAAAAGTAGAGTAGAGACACCAGTTGGACAGACGCATGTAAGTGCAAATTGAGGAGAGTAGACTGATATGAAGAGTCCCAACATACAAGAAGAGTTGACTGACGAAAAGAGTCCTGACTCACAAGAAGAGTCCTAACTGATGAGTCGACTGTCGAGGAGACTCCCACCAGACAAGGAGAGTCAACTGATGAGGAGAGCCTTGCCTCACAAGGAGAGTCCTAACTGATAAGAGTTGACTGACGATGAGAGTCCCTTCTGATGAGGATAGTCCTGACTTACAAGGAAAGTAGACTGACCCTTAAAAGGTTTGAGTTGAGGGAAGAAACTAACAGGATCCAAACACAGCAGCCTGGCACTTTTCAAATCAAACCCGTTTTCTGTCACTCAGGAGCTAATTGAATTTAAATCCTCCAAAGTTCTTACACTGGATACACCCAATAGGTTATTATTTACCTGGTGATCCGAATGTTTTATCCGCTAGGTTAGCTGGTCGTCTTGCACTAGTCGCTAATCTCCACGAAGCTGAACTTTTTTCTGTACCATTTGACCAGCCACACATATCTCTTTCAAATCGACACTCTGCTGATCGGACCATAGCTCCAGTGGGCAATGCTACAATAAAGGTATTTATTATTTTTTGCAAATCAATATAAAAGGGTTTTTATTACTTGAACACGATCCGCCAAAAAATGTTATGTCATCAAAAGCAATGAAACCGTTTGATCTGCTTGAGCCCCAAATACCTTCAATGAGTATCTGTAAATATTTCAATAATTAGAATTTAGGAAATTAATTTTTTTGGGGGGAATGGAGAATTGATAACAGTGGGAATACCAGATCGTTCGGTTCTGCAATGGGAGCTTGTGCGTATTGCCACTCAGGGCCTTGGTGGTTGTACAATCTCCAAACCGGTTTCATCGGTGAATCATTTTCAATACCTTTCTTCGTGTAAATAGTCAGAGCGCCAAGGCTCGGCCCTGAATTATCGATGAACGGTTCATTCATTATAAACCTAAAAAATTAAAGGAATATTTTGTCTTGTACCTTTTATTGGATTTTACATGTTTGTTAGACATTTGAGGACTGGAGAAGGGATACTGTCAATCCTCCAGTCTTATAATGTTTAATAAGAATTAGTTTATTAAATTCAAAATTTCACCAGAATGATAAGCATCGAGGGCCTGAAGCTGGCTTTAAATCTCTCGATGTAAACCAAGCTCGATTGCCAGGTCTTTGAACCGTACTTCTTGCAAGTGTCATCAAGTATCCTAAACATTGCAACGAAATTTAAGAAAATTTTCAAACAAAAAGTAACAAACAATACCTTTTTCTGTTCCAAGAGTATGATCTCTTGCAGTTGTCCTTACGGATTGCCCTGAGGATCTCTCCCAATCAATGTCATCCAGTCTCTCTCTGGACACGACATTGCTCCAGCCACATTCGTCCACTTCAAACGTGCAATCACCTGAACCAGGAGCAGCGATTTGTGGTGCAGCTGAAACGTCACGTTCAGTTTATTAGTGATGAGTTATTAATTTGCCTTTCAGTTCAGAAATTACTTGGACAGCTTCCAGGAGTAAGGGAGATATCGTCGATTGCAATATCACCTAAATTGTTTTTCCCAATTTTACCCAGTAGAACAATCTAAAAGCCACTTAATCAGTTATAAGACTGACCTATTTAGGTTATTTGTAGGTAATATTACCTTAAACGCGTTCTGAGAAGATACAGATACTTCGGCTTGATACCAGGCATTTCCTGCTTCTCCTGACAATGACCATATCTCCCTATCTTGCCTTTCCCTCGTATCGCTTATAAGTATACTCAGTGATCCGACGCCATTGCCAAACATATGTGTCCAAAACCTTAGACACAATGGTGTGTCAGGGGCTTAAAATAAGCATTATTAGTTGCGGTAGTACAAATTTATAATAAATGTTTGGTTTTATTTATTGTACATGTTGGTTCAAATTCTGCGCTTGATAACCTAGCGACATCTCCAGGTCGTCTGGGATAAGAAGAATCTATGTATGTGTATCCTCCTTCCATTCCGCCGTATATAAAACTGGATCTGTCGGTCGCAGGCCCTGTTGAAGGATTTCTACTACCTCTTCCCTGAAATAGGTATGATTTTAAATTAGCAAATGACTGTGAAATATATGATGCATACCAATGACCAATCGAAATCATCATTTTCTTCATTTAACCATCCACAAAATCCTCCTTCGAATGTACAGTGGCCTTTGCATTCTCCTCCAGTTTTTAAAATAATATTATCGACTGCAACATACCCTCTGTATTTTCGATACGGATCAGGTAAATCTTTTGCGACACCTTCAAAAACTATCTAGAAATAATTACCTTTTAAAATAAAACTGTTGTTACATTATTTGTTTCTTTTATTATAAATTTTGTACCTGATGGTTTTTGTTGTATGTGTAAAGTACTTCAGCGTTCATCCACATTTTATTCGTTGGGTCTTTAGAGCCCCAGAGGACTCGGAAAAATGACTCGGGACGACCATCCTTTCCCACAGGTTGAAGGACCACACGAAGTCCAGAAGCACTCAAACCGTCAATGGAAAAACTGTAAAAATATAAGTTTTGGATTATATTTTAAATCTCTACTATTATTATTTCTGTGTGCGCATGTAATATGAATAAGAATAAGCAATAAATAGCAATAAAACAATTATATATTGTTGTCTCTCTTGTGCCTAAGGATATCTCCTCCGTCTAAGAGACATAGCAGTCTTATTCATGTAAAAAGGTTAATTAAATGCTCCAGTTTAAGGGTGGTGCTTCTGGTTTACAAACAGATTTATCTCTCAGCACACAGTCTTCATGCGGGGGGAGGAACATTGTCATGGGGCTTAGATCTTGGTGATAGGTTAAAGCCCTTTTTTCTGATGAGCAACTCCTCGAGAAGACTTAACCTCTGAACTCATACTCCAGAATCAGTTGATTTATCTCATGTTATCTGATTCTACATTTTTCTCTCAGGTCTCATTCTATCTGAACTGCCATTGATTCTGGCCAAGACTCTCAACTACCACTGTCTCCATCTCAACTCGAGCTGAATTGTCACTGACTCCATCTCAACTGTCACTAACTCTGACTCTGTCTCTAACTCAATCTCAACTGACACTGATTCTGACTCAGGTTCTAACTTGTACTTATACTGCTGCTGATTCCTTATCAACTGACACTGACTCTATCTGAACTGTTACTGACTCCATCTTAACTGACACTAACTCTAACAATGGTGTCTTGTACAGGTTAGTGTACCCAGCTCAACAGTCTCGGGTTTTGAACCTCGGATGGCAAAATTTTTGAGGGTGTGGATCCTGGGTGATATCAAAAAACCGAGGCTGTGTATGTGACCTCAGATGGCGAGACCTTGCCTTGAATGAAGCAGCTGTTTATGGATGAATGAGGAATTGTAATAATAGTCTATAATTAAGAACTACTTTTATACTGTACCAGAAAATCTATGCTATATGTGACAATTAGAATTGTTCTTTTTGTGTGTGAAAGTAATAGAAGCTGAAATACAACCTGAAGCTGATGCATTTCCCTTCAGCGCCTGTCGACCCAAGAACTGGGCTCTCTAAATAAGCATTTTGACCTTCTCTGATCGTTATATCATCAACTCTTAAAACAGGTGCTGCTAAGAGGGATGTCTCAAAAAATGCATATCCTCCTAAAACATACATTACCTGCATGAAAACATACTAAGGGAAAAAAGTAGAAACTTAAAAAATATTTGATATGGTCAACCTTTGTCTGCATCTTCTATACCGCTGGCATCTCGAGTCGGACCTCCTAGCCAATTACTGAGAGTCCCGGCTCCTAATTCCCAGCGCAATGCCGACCCATTTCTATTACTCCATTCGCACAACCCAAGTTCAGTATCAGTACCAAAGTCGCATAATTCTGCAACCAAAATAAAATCAATCATTTGAGTATTTTAAGCAATTTTTAAACTTTTGTCCCTTACCTGATGTATCTTGCCGTCTTATTCGTATCTGGAAAAAACAACAACAGAAGAGTAATGAGTTATTAGGTGTATGAAATTAAATAATTTTCATTTTATATCGTGAGGTTAAGGTTAAAAAGAGATATTGACAACCTTGCACACTGTGACCAATATTTGTCTATTATGCAAAATAAATAATTGTGTTGAACTCTTCATTAAGTTTAAGGCTTTTTATTAGATCAGAAAGTTTTCCCAACGGGTCCTGTGTCTTCAGGCATTGACTTTTACTCTCTCAAGAATAAAAATCCCTGCCTGCAGGCCTTCGCACAAACGACATGTTCTGCTGTTTGTTCTTCTTCCTGGCTTGTTTCTGCTGATCCTAGTTTCTACATATGCCTCTGGAGTTTGCAGTGTCAAGGCAGTAGTCACTCTTGTAAGTTAAGCGGCACTGTCGTTAATTTTGGCATCCGTCCTGAATTACAATCCCAATGGAGCAAGTTATTCTTAATTCATTGATAGATCTGCTTTTGGTAATTAGGCATGGAGCAAAAGGGTTCATGGCCGACCCGACTGCAGTCCTAACAGGACTTTAGCAGTCCTACTACGGTTGTGTGTGGTGATGTATTGAGAAGGACTTCTAGGGCAGCAGTGGGGGTCGTTCTTATTATAAAACTATCCAAGTATGATAAACTAGAAGGAAAGACAATTAAAAATTGTCTACATTACAATACCTTTGGTAACGTTGTTGCATGCCATGTGATGTTTGTATGTAGAGATGTTAGGTCGACCTGTTGGATGGTGGTTACAATGACTAGGAAGGCCAGAAAACTGCCTGTAAATGCACTGTTCATTCTGAAACACAAACGTTTTTAAAAATTAAACTTACCAATAGTTTTTGGTGGCATGATGTAAGGTAGAGGAATTCTCTGAAACATGCTCGAGGGTGACCTGTTGTTCTGTTGTATAATAAATTGTAAGACTGTTTTAATGCTAACTACTTATAATTAAGTCTCTAGTGATACTACTTAGGAATGCCAAGTCTTGAAACTAGTTAAACCAGTTTAAAATATAGTTCTTATTCACAGTTTGCTATTTTCAATGATCCGGATTTCAAGCATTAAACGCTCATCATCAGGTCGAAGGAGTTACAAACACGTCTCTCTACATACAAGTGTGAGCCGATTAAAAAGTTATAAAGTAACAATGTTATTTTAAAAGCCGATGAAGGAAATAGTATAGTTACGACTGAACACCAAAAATACGTTTCTAAAGTTGAAAAATTTCTTAACAATAACGATTGTAAAGAATTAAAAAATGAAGCCACCTTAAAATTAAAAACTAGAGTTCAAAACAGCCATAAAAAATATTGACTTTCTATTCTCAAATGACTAATATACGGTTAAAAACTAATACTAATGAACCCGAAACCCCCAATCAAAACCCACAAAGAAAACAAACCTATAAGAACAGTAATTATATATAATTCTCTATGCCACAAACTGGCGATAACAATAGATGAAATAATTAAAACAAACACAAATTTCAAACCTACATGCGGTATTAACAATTCTTTAGAACTGATAAAATAGTTAAAGAACATAAATAAACCTAACAACTATTTTTTTGTGTCATTTGATGTTACTAATTTATATACAAATATCCCTGTTTAAGAATATACTAAAAATTAAGGTTTTTAGTTGAGATTAATAAGTCAATGGCACGATCGGGACTCTACCACTTCAGCTATTTTGACTTCGATCCACTCGGGAAAAATGGCAAAAAGGAGGAAAAATTGAAAAGGTGGGGTTGAGATGGGAAGTTGGTGTCTGAGTGGATCGGCGTATCTAGCCGAAGATCGTGGGTTCGAATCCCGCTCGTGCCATTGACTTTTTTATCTCAACTAAAAACCTTAATTAATTGTAATGTATTAATTGTTCAAGTGGACCACGAAATTAGTGAATCTGAATAGAATTTTATATCTTTATTATTAATAAATTCTGTTAACGCATTTTCTAAGGGCTTTTGATAAATAAATTTTTTATGTTGTAAAACGTTGTCCCGGTGTTTGAAGAAATGGTAGTCGGTAGGCGAGAGGTCTGGAGAATATGGAGGGTGAGGCAGAACCTCATAACCAAGATCCAGCAGTTTTCGAGTTNTAGAATTATGGTTAGGCTTATGTTAGATGAGGTAGCGTTAGGGTGTGTGTTAGGTTTACGTTAGTATGGGAAAGGTAATGGTTAGGAATGGAATAGGTTAGGTGGGGTTAGAATTATGGTTAGGCTTATGTTAGATTAGGTAGCGTTACGGTTAGTGTTAGGTTTAAGTAGATTAGGCAGGGTTAGGTTAGGGCAAGTGTAAGTTTTAGTTAGATTAGGCAGGATTAGAGTTAACGTTTGGATTACTTTTAGGGTTAAGGTAGATAAGGTAATGTTAGAATTAAGGGTAAGTGTTAGGTTTAAGTTAGAAAAGGTAGGGTTAGAGTTAGGGTAAATGTTAGATTTCAGTATGATCAGGTAACGTTTGGGTTATGGCAGGTATTAGGTTTAAGTTGTTAAGGGTTTTGGATGGAATAGGTTAGGTAGGGTTAGGATAACGTAAAAAAAAAGAGGGGCCGATTCAATTGAAAATGTATGATACTGTGCGTCGGCAACAGACTAAAACCGTAACCAGGAAGCGTTTATCTGATTTGCCAAAGAGTTTATTTTTATTTATCATTCTGGTCAATCTTGACAGTTGAGGTGATGAGGGATTTGATGGGCTGCTGTGATTTTATTACCAAGTATTTGTGAGGTATGGCTTAACTTTTTGCGAGTATGTCTACGTGCCGTTCCTCGAAGGTGTTCAGTATTTGGCACCCGATGGTGCTGTTGGTTCCTGAATCTACTCGCCCTTCTGGTGAAGTTTCAACTGGAGCGAAATATGCCTTTCTATCACCTTGGACATTAAAGGTAAGCAAACCTCGGCAATTGCTAAATTTAAAAGAACATAATATATAATAGCCCGAATTCCTTAGAGGGATTTTAAAATAAATTAACCAGGTACAATTCGACTATCGTGGTTATCCTCAATGGCCATTCGAAACAGTCGATCGATAATGCAATCAAACCGCGGCGAGTATTCGGCGAGTAGTAAAGTAAAAAAGGAACAATCAGCCGTGTCACAATCAATTCAGGTGTTTGAAGAAATGGTAGTCGGTAGGCGAGAGGTCTGGAGAATATGGAGGGTGAGGCAGAACCTCATAACCAAGATCCAGCAGTTTTCGAGTTGTCACATGTGACATGGTGCCGAGCGTTGTCGCGTAACAGAATCGGCCTTTTCCGAATGACCAAAGATGGCTTCTGTAATGTTAATTTCAGGTGCATTGCTTCAATTTGAAAGCAACACGTTTCGACATTGATTGTTTCGCCAGAATTCAAGAAGCTGTAGAAAATCAGTCCAAACGATGCCCACGTAAGAGTCACATCAACTTTTTTGATGAGTTGCCGGCTGTGGAAAATGTGGTGTTGCTTCTACTTTGTCGAGCAACTGTCCAGAACGTCTGTTGTTTTCGTAGAGTATCCTCTTTTTATCACATGTGACAATTCCATCCAGAAAAGATTCTTTCTGTTTCGGCAAAGAAGTGATGCGCGAACTTCCTCACGATGATTTTTTTGGGGGCCGTTTAATGCATGGGGAACGCAACTTTTGAGCTTTTTCACCTTTCCAATTGCCTCGGTCAGCGACGGCCGATTTGCTAATTGAAAGATTCCGTGGAAGTTCTCGAACTAAAAGTCGCAGAACATCCTCATCTAGAGAATAAATCCTTCCACGACCTTCTTTGTCTTCAAAACTAAAATATCCCTCTCGAAATTTTTTAAACCACCTCTGAACGGTGCTCTCACTCAGATTGCCATCGCGTCAGACTTCGTGAATGTTTCTGGCCTTTTGAGCGCCGTTCTGACAGAGTTGAAACTCGTAAAACGAAATTAAGCGACAATTGCGTGTTGACATCTTAGTAAAGACTGAATTATTCCCAATTAACGAAGTGCTACCGAGGCAAACAAACATTTTTGTTTGGACGAGGATTAAAAAGTGTTGACGTTAGTAAAAAAGAATAATCCATCAAACGTAAACAGTTTATTATAGAGGGGTAATTGAAAGAAATGGTGAAAACCTGCATTATTTTCCGGACAACCCGATATAATGGACCCTTTATGCCTATTATCTAATTATTGTAAATTTATTAATAAATTTTATGAAATGAAAGGGTTACCAATGGGGTCTCCAGTATCCTAACTTTTTGCCGAAATATTCATGGATACTTTGAAAAAATTCTTTTCAAATCAAATAACAAATTAATTAAATCTGTCCTTTTTTGGAAACGCTATGTAGACGACATTTTATGTTTATGCTCGGGAACATTAAAGGGTCTAAAAGAATTCCTCCAATTAATTAATTCTTTACACTCTAGTATAAATGTTACATTGGAAATAAATGAAGATGGCTGTTTAAAGTTTTTAGTCTTAAAGCTATCCATAATAAATAACCTAATTGAAATGGACGTATGTAGACAACGCACAAAAAACAGACACTATGATACTAGCAGATTCTATTTATACATGAACCCAAAAAACGGCTGGATTCATTTGGCTCATAAACCGTATGTTGAAACTCCCATTAATACCTGCTAATTATAAAACAGAGTTACAAACAATTAAAACCTTGGTCAAGACAATGTATATCAAAAAATATTTATTGATAGGCTGGCGTTGGCAACCTATCGACAAATAGGTCTAGTCTTGATCTCCACTGTTTTTAGCCGAGGTTTTAATTATTTGCAATTCTTTTTCATAATTAGCAGATGTAGTGTTTGGGTTAAGGTAGGGTTAGGTTAGGTTTACGTTGAATTAGGTTAGACTAAGTGTTAGGTTTAAGTAGATTAAGTAGGGTCAGGATTTATTAATGTTAGATTAGGTAGAGTTAGGTTAGGGTAAGTGTTAGGTTATATTAAGTTAGGTAGGTGGGGTTAGGCTTAAAGTTATGTTAGATTAGGGTTAAAGGTTCAATTCAACGTTTTACTGTACAGATTCAAATACTTTCCGTTTTGCTTGAAAAATAAAATATCTGGTTTATTTTTTCCTTCCTATTAACATTCTCTTCCACTTGGACTTTATGAAAAAGATTCCTCTTCTCTAAGCTATTCAAAACAAAACAACCTGCAAATATTTGGAAATGGGAAACACCACGAAATTTATGTCTTTAAGTAATTCCACAAATTTTATTTTAAGAAAGACCTGGTAATACCAGGATCCTAGAATAGTTTACGTTATTAGCCACGAAACCTTGTTTTGTAGTATTCAAAGGGGTTAAATTAAGAGAGAATAAAGAAGAAAATTGCCACCTCTACAGCCAAGAAGCGACAAGACACATTAAGTCTTCTTTTTTGCACCCCTATTTTTACAATCTAGGTCCTTTTAACAAAAATAAAAAATTGTTAATGCGTTTGGCGAAAGCAATCTGACTGATGTTAAGAATAAAAACTATTTATAAACAATTTTTGACTGTTTAATAACCAGGGTGTCAACTTACTAATGTCACCCCCGGTTTTCGCAAGAAACTACTCAATCTATAAAAAAATTTCAACTTATTTTTTAGGATAAACTGTACGTACATACTTTCAAACATAAGCTGAACAATTCTGTCACCTGTATGACCGTGAGTTGCCCGGGATTTTGTAGATGCTAAACACGAAACCCTTCCATGCTTCGCTGGTCACGGTTTGTAACTGCAATTGCCCGGTTTCGAGTCAGTAGTCGATAGTACAATCAATAGGTTGAAATTTTTCCTTTGCTCGTCCCCAACGAGCGGAACCA